ATGAAACAAAATACATATTAAATGTAAAATGTTACCACAATATAGCACCTCAGACAGTGTGCTTATTTCTTAAGCTCCCTTATAAATAACACTTTTCTGAATGGAGTTAAACTCGTCGATGTCAACTTATTTCATCAATCGGATCTATGTGCTAAAGGAATGAGCATCAACTGCTCAGGCCTTTGATCACTTCCTTAAATCTTCATAGTATTGATCGATCCAAGCTTGAATTATCTTAACCTCTGTTTCTCTTTGCTCTTTGAGCCACTTGGGATCATCTTTTGTGGCTGCTCGAAAATCCAAGTGATGAGCCCCTGAAGAGATGCAACAGTGGTTGAATCAGAAGGTTGATTGATCAATAATGTAACAATTAAGAATAGTTAGTACAACAAAGGATCTCTTTCTTTTTGGGTAAGATTTGGTTTACTGGCCAAAACTCTCTTGGCAAGCCAATCCGCTCACCTAACGGTGTGACGAGGGCAATGATGCTGGATGATATGTTCTTCAGCACCCTACAAATGTATTCAATGGCAAAAGCATAAAAATCAAACAATCAAAACAAGTACAGAAGGATACACCATGAACCTTGGTAATGATTAATAATTACCCGCCTCTACTCCAAGGGTCTCTCATTCCATTAGAGAAAATAATGTTGCTTCCGAATCTCTTTAGCACTAGCTCAATTTTCTGGTTACAACAATCATTCCAGGAAACAATTTAGCAAAAGAAATGCAAAGTTTTATGCAAAATCTGTTCAAAACATGGGCCTATTAAGCAAAATAATATCTTCTAGTTCGCAAAATCCAAAGCATAAACTTCTAGTTTTTATGATCTATGACATGTAATTCATTTATATATCCAGCTGTGTTGCATCTTCAATTTATCAAATTCTTTTAAGTGAAAGACTAATGTGTGACCTCTATGTTCAAACAAAGAGCAACATGAATTGCATCCCAGAAAGAATTGACTCACATTGCCACCATATTCTGTGGTTATCCAGTGGGGCCTTGGTCGAACTTCATACTTTGTCATGCACTGGTCACCAAATTCTTTATAGTCATATGTCGATGGGGGAAACATGCTTTCATTAGAGGAAGTCATTGGCATGACCATCTCTGTGCATGCCTGAGAGACGAAAAAATTAGATGATCGACAAATTTCCACTAGGGATGTCCAGAACTATGGCACTGAAATTTCCCGTCATGCAAATTTTATGGTGTTCCAAAATTGAATTGTACAATAATATATGTAAGCCTGAGGTGAAGTTTAAAAAATGTGTAAAGGACAGTAGATTACGGCAGGTTTCTACCTGCCAGTCCCAACCATGGAGGCCATGAGGATCACTTCCATTTTCTATGTCAAAGCAAGAATTAGTACTTGAGTAGTTGTAATATAAACTTGCAGCTGAAAACACTTTAATGAGTATGTCCTCTCCTGCTGGGAATCCATCAATAATCCTACACATCTATAAGAAATAGTTCTGATTAGTGAAATGACAAAAAAAAAGAGCCATAAAAGCAAGATCATAATCTGTTGTGAGAATAAATAGCAGCAAGGACATCAAGAAATGTACATAATCTAATCAATGATAACTTCAGGTGCCTCCAATCCTATGATCATTAACATTCACATATCAAGATAAATAGGATTGTAGATAATCTGCATGTGCCAGTTTTTGTTCTTTTCAAGAAGGGACACCAGACACTGGACTGTCGTTCATAAGAAGATGAATAGCTTGTCCAAGATTGACACAATTACGCAAGATAATATACATCAGTCTCAAGAGAACAGTATGGAAGCATTACCTCTTTAACAGGATATGCAGGCAAAGGCATCAGAAAATTGGCTGGAGTTGGGTAATCAATCATTGCTGTGTATACAAATGCTGTCCACAACCAATCTCTCACAGAATATACAGACTGAAGTTTTCTGCAATGTGTGAACCACATCTTACCCAAGACAGGTCAAAATGAGAAGTGTATGTAAAGATATAAAGAGTATTTTCCTCGAAGGAAAAAAAGGAACAATTGATAGTGCCAAAATAACACAGGATTTGACCATCATAAAGGACTGCTTTCAGTTACTCAGAACTGTAAGTTTCTGTGAGAGTTACACTGTGAGTGCTAAAAAATGGTCTACGACCATGAGCTACCGTAAACTTCTGGAGTATCAAGGAATTGTACTATGACATGTCTCTAGTTGTTGTCATAACATAACTCTTAAAAACTGGATAATTTTTTTTCATTGAGTGTGACCTTTTGGATCAACCAATACTGCATGCTTTCTACAAGCATTTGGACACTGACTGGCACACAAAAATATAAGAAAATCCAAATATCCCCCACTTCCATTGATGATAAAATTGTTGGTGGAGCTCAAACCATTCTCTATATGTGGTTAAAGGTCACAATGCCAAACATGGAGGCTAGCAAAGCTAAATTGGATGGCCCATGTGCTTATAGGTTTCTAAACTTATGCTCATCCCAGATGAGGTCTTGTAGCAAAAAACTTCAAATTCCGCAAGAATAAAGACAAGAAGTATCTCCTTATTAATTAATCTACATCAAACTTGGATGTAAATGGAGGTCCCAGTGTCCCTCTCAAAGAAGTAGGTGCTTGTTCCATCACCATAGTAGAGTAACATATGTGGATAACAATCAGAAAATTGACTCATAAGCCAAATCAACACGAACAGATTTGGTCTCATGCAATTAAAGTCGTCAGGCATGCAGCCTAGGTCGTTTTTTTCCCAGTGTCATATTGAATGTTATTTAAATGTCCTACACGTCCGACAAGAGCCTGTCTTGAAAGGCACATTGCACCCACCTAGATGAACCCTTAACAAGACAAGTAATTACTAATGCCATCTCATCAACCAAATTGCTCAATAATTTCGATAATTATTATGGTAGTTTGAGGTGATCAATCCATACTTGTGCTTGCCAAGAAGAATTAACTTACTTGCAAGCTCTAAAAGTTTTGGTAAGTTCCAACATCCCTCCCTTCTTAGCTCCCACTACCATCAACTCATCCCAGCTGTCCTTGATCACCTCAAAGCAGTTAATGCTCTCATCCTGCAAGATGCCAATCAACCAAAAGATCAAAAATGAGAACTTGCATAGCAAATGGTTTTACTCTAATCCGTGCTCAACACAGGCAACAATCCAACTCGAAATTTATAAATTGGAATATAAATTTGGGTCTACACCTTGAAATCCTGCGACACACCATCATAGAAGCTACTCCAGGGGACAATATGATCAAACTGCAGGATGGGTGCTGATGAAGCCAGAGCCCCGATGGTTATATGTGGATACTTTAGTCTGAACCAAGCTGCCAACACTGAGAACCAAAAAGTTTCGGAGGTATAAAGTTGGAATATTTTCATTCTTATACACAAGGAAAGATGGATGCCGATTAACTCTGCACCATATCATCGACACAAGACAAAACTTTTTGTTCATCGTCAAGTTAACAATTATCGTATGTTGTTCGGATTCGTCTAGAGATTGTTGATCAATTTGGATTTGTTATTTGACTGTAGGGTCCTAATTAACCCCACCAAAAAGATTACTGTTAGAATATGAGGATAACATCTATACACAAGAGGGAGAAACATACTTCCCCCATAGGATCCACCAAAGACTACAACCGGAGATGCCTCTGCCGACAAGTTCTTCTTTAGGCTTCTTATGAGAATTGCGTAATCTGCCATTGCTTGCGTCGATGTCAGATATCCCAATTCCTCAGCCGATTCGTATGAATCATTCCCGAATGGCATCGACTCGCCATAGAATCTATGCTAAAACCGAAGCAAAAGGCTACATAATTCCTTCGATTCGTATACTCCCACCAACGGAAGAAGAGAAGAATTCATGTACCTCGATGAAGACGAGGAGGGCCTTGAACTTGGGCGCGATGTCGAGCATGAACCCGGTGTTGGCGGCGAACCACTCGATGTTGCCTTCGTTGCCGGTGTAGACGAAGATGGGGGCGGTGTGGACGGGGCCTTGGTCCCAGTAGGTGGAGTTGATGAGGTACTTCTGGTAGAAGACATGGTAAGCCTTGGGCCGGAAGGTGAAGTGGTCCAGCTGCTGGGGGAAGAAGTGGGCGGTGAATGGGAGCTCGGAGTCCATGGCGGGCTTCCTTTTCTGTGCCAGGGATTGCATGGCTGCGCTTGGGGACAAGGTGGTCGAGGAATGGACTCCTGAGATGCCCAAGGTCAGGAAGAGGAAGAGGAGGAGGAGGAGGATGAGGGGAGGAAGACATGAAGCCAGGGCCATGTTGTCTCCTCGAGGAGAAGGAGCTCCTCTGAGAGGAAGGAGAAGGAAGTAGTAACAGCAGAAAGTGGAGTCAAGGTCTTTTTGATGACTTGCCTTATTCTCTCACTTTTGAATGTAAGTCACGAGCAAATGACGTTAGTGGATATGCCGTGGAAAATTAGCTGAATTATAATTATATATATTATAATATATTTATCCCTCAAAAATTAGAATGTGACTTTAGCATACACATTTTATAAAATTTAAAACCTTCAAATATTCAAAAAAAAATTAAGGAAAAAGAACCTGGAAAATCATTCTTAAATTAAGAAATATTAATAATATTGAGGTATGCTAAATCCAAGGGAATTTAGCATATATTTAATATTCTAGAAAATTTTGGAACTTGCATATATTAATTTCTGTCAATTAAATAATTCTAGATAATATTTTTTAAAAGAAATATAGGAATAGTTTAAATATTTTCTTAACTCAAACTAACTAATATTTTTTTATATAGTTAGTCATGCTTATGTTAAGTTTTTTTTTTTCTTGAATGAATTGTAAAGTGAGGATAATAAATGTGTGTGTGTGTGTGTGTGTAATATTAAAAAAAAAAGGACAAACTTAATAATTTTAAATCTAAAAGGCTATATATGTAAAGACAGCTTTGTGTTTTTGGAAGAGAGATCCAATGCAGTTGGATCATATAAGAATAAATTCTTTGACCTAATCAACTTATTCTTTTTTTATCTTTTATCTATTTTTTTACAAGACATTTGGACAAATTTTAGGAGTTGTTAAATTTTTTATTTTATATTATTTTTTAAGAGTAAATGACAAATCTTATCATATAACCTTCATATCCACATCGGTATAACTTTCTTGTGTCCTTCACCATATATATATATATATATATAATTGCTTAATGGATAGTAATAATGTAAATCTGTGCATATTATCTATGCATAATTGAATACGATCCACGTACAAAAGCAAATGATAATGCGTAAATATAACAGAAAATTAAATAGAGAAATAAGGGAAATTGTGATTATTCTTTAAAGTTTTCATAAAAAAAAAAAAAGTTTCAAAAGCCATGGTGACTTTGTTTGTGCACATTAGTAAGAAGCTCATAAGCTATGTTTATATAAGCGATCGAATCCAAATCCCAATGTTGATCGAGGATGATGAGATCATATCAGGAGATGGAGATGAAACACGAGACCAAAAATGAAAACAAAAGGAAGCAATGAAATGGGTGAACAACAAGAGGTTATGGACGAACGGATTGCACCAAAAAGAGATTTGGATTCAGACAACGACAGAAGAATCAGCCATCTTGTCTGGGGTGAGCAGGATATGTTAAAAAGATGCATCCATCCGTCACGAGCAAAGCTGATCGGTGTTAACAAACATCCATCAATTCCATGTAAATTGGATTGATGCTGGGAATCAACTTTTCCCCGAGCAAGTATACATAGTAAAGGATCAAATCCCATTGTTTCAAGGGGATTGATTTATCTCATATCTGTTTATTTTGTTAGATTATGCAGTAAATTATATGAATAACAGGTGAGCAATAATGTAAATCTTGTCGTGAGAGAAAACGCCATGCGTTGTTGTCCTTTGAATATCTAAAAATGATTTTGGCAGCATCGACAGTGGGGAAATCAATAGGACGCCACACATACATACACACGAGAGTGCCTGTTGTTTCCTTACCTGTCGTAGTCATGTAGGGCAAGCAGATCACTGGGAATCGATAAGTTTTCCACCATTGATGAAGACGTACACGAACCTTGGACCAGTTCATGGGAAATGAAAGTCAAGGACCGGTACCATCGCCTTTATTTCCGTGGAGAAACGTTGAAGTCACTTTAGTAGTCTCCTCTTCGTTCAGATAGCAACATAATTGCAAATGGGATGGGTCTTGTGGTTTCCTTCTGACAAATGATAAGAGACGATGAGTTTGGAAACGAAAGAAAATATCAGCATTAACTTTTCATCGTTAACAATTCATAAGGAGAATTTATAGTACTAAACATATGTCTACACAGCCGCCATCTCAGTACAGGAAGAAGGACGGTCCATTCTGACATGATAAAAGGAACTGATCTATCACACCTTGAGTTAAAAAAACACAGATAAAAAGGTTAATTGGTCCTAAGGAGTCATTCCGAGAGTCATCTTTAACCCACACCCTATCAAATATCTCGTATCATTTCCTATCAAGCACCAGAGAGTCATGACTATGATATGATAAGAACAATATGGTAGTCATCATGAAAGAGAACATAAGATCCCTCTACAATCATGAAATCATGAATTGTAAATGTTATTACTATGATAATTACCATAAGAAAAATATTCACTTATTACTCTAGTTATAAACTCTCAACAAACCTGGCTCATCAGACGAGGACCATCCAAGGAAAATTTTGATATCTCTCCTCTTTGTATCATCACATGAAGCACCTCTATCATACATTCGCTGACGAATCAAGGAATATGAAGTAGGTTTTCTCGACTTCAACCAGTGTAAACGAACGGCCGGTGTCTAGTGATATCAGAAGAGGCTCATCAATTTCTGAATGATGAACTGAAAAATAAGTATAATTTTACTCTCAACACTTACCTTTGTATAAAAATAGTAGTGGTAACAGTAATAGCAGTAGCAGCAGCAGTGATAAAAGCATCGATCAGCGAAAAGTTGGTGGCCCGGCTTGTGTGTGGGATTCACCATCGCCTCACGAGCTGCCTGCCACATGCACTGGGCTTTCTCAGTGTGTGGCGACCGAGTAAAAGAGAAAATGATAAGATTCCCTTGGTGTACTGATCTAGCTGTTCCGGTACTGCGACGTGAACTGTTGATAGGAATGAGAAGAGGAGGGTGGAGGAGAGCCATCTACCTTATCAGTCTTCGTTTTCCTGCTGCATTAGAGATGGGCAGCTATGATTTGATAACCCTCTGACAGCAGCGAGGAGAGGGTTGGAGAGCGCCAGGAAATTAAGCCGACCAGCCCTGCAGCCTCGCAGTCCTTTGCCGAACAGCCCGTGAGCTGAAAGCTTTGATTCTTTTGGAGAATGGGACAAGAGGTAAAGTTTCAAACAGTATTTAAAACAAAAAAAAATAACACTTACATAGAGGAGGGAAATTATGGTTTCGTTTCTGAGGACTTCATCAACGATAGGTCGAGCCCAAAGATTGACGACGTTCACTTGCAGAAGACTCAAACTTGGCAGTTTGGGCCTGCAATTTGAATCACCAATCCAGCCCAATATATATGTATGCATATAAAAATGACAACTATGGCCCAGAATAAGCAGCTACCACTGACCTGAGATCTACCGAGAAGGGCAGTCCACAAGTCAATGCGATTTATGCTGATCCTTCGAGATTGAACAAACTGCCAATAACAGAGTTTCTTCATGCTAACTCCGAATCATCGCTTCAATAGCTGCTGTCATGTTGCTGCATGTGAGAACTATCACGATCGACATGCTGGTGAATGTGCACAAGCTCAATAGGCCATCTTATTGAAGCTTTCAGGTCAGTTACATTTGGAAGTCACTCCAGCAGCAAGTAATGCAGAAAATATTTCTGTAGCACATCACTTGGTTGTATTGATCGAAAGATAAAGTCTCAGCTCCGCTAACCGGACATTAATAGATTGCTTCTGACAAATTCAAGAGACCTGCACGCATGTCAAAACTACAGAAAGTCAGCTAAAAGCAATCAAATTAGACAAACTCAAGATAACCACCAGTATCTTGTGTACTAACTCATCCACTGGAGTTTTCTTGTGATGTTGTTTTATTTATTCTTTTTTTTTTTTTAAGTAAGACACTTGGAAACCGAGATTTGTGTGGTCCATTTTCGCGTATATCTCGTCATGCTTGTGTCGATAACCGCCAGTATCAACATGATGCAGTCTTACCCTTTGGTCTAGTCTACATGTTTTCCCACTTCTCTCGATCTCCAACCTGAAAGGGGGAGACAATGACAAGTGATATAGACCAGTAAGATGCATATCAAGACAAGATTTTTTGCTTTGAAGCAGTTCTAACCGCCAAAGGTCTCCAGTATTAAACTCTCCCTCTCCTCCAAAGGAGCTCACCTGTGGATACACCAAGAGACAAATCAGAGCAGTGAAAAGTTGGGAAATATATCGAGGTCTTGACCAGTAAAACAAAATAGAGATAATAATAAGTCACAAAGAAAAACAAAAGCACCATTTTCAGCAGTGCAGTTACCATTGGTTTTTCATTGAGTGACATTCAATCATTGCAGCAACTTGGATGATGATTGTATTTTATACTGGTGTTGGTCATAAGAACACCTATATCTGTTGGAAGCAGCTCCAGTCCACAATCCATCTTCTAGAAATCAAAGACCTTTCTCCGCGACTTCAAGAGCCAGCAAAAATTCCTTTTGTTCCAGTTACTCGACACCAAGGTAAACCATGCCTGTATATGATGAAGTAGATTGCAATTGCAAGACTTCATGCAACCTGAAAAGATCAGTAAGCTGGTGCTAGCTTCAATGCTGGGATTTGACCCACCACAACAAGGCCAACCTTTATCAACAAAATAGGTAAGGATCTCAAATTTTCAGGTATGATTTTGCATGGATCAAGCTTGAAAAATATATGATGTGGGACCAATTTAGAACATCTCTTATTTGAATAAACCCGATTAGTTTATGAGCTATTTCGTATATGTCTTAAGCTGCAGGAGAAGAAAAAAGATTAAAAAATTAAAATTTTATCTTGATTGAACATTATAAATCTTGATAAAAGATTTTATTCATCTCTACAAAAATAGAAGTTTATCAATAAAAAATGTCATCAAAAGGAAAAATTCAATTTTTATAAGGAAAAAGAGGAAAAATTTTAATGATGATTTATTTCTAAGACAAATTCGGAGTGTTAACTTATTTGAATTCAACTTTCATAAAGAAGAAAAAGATGAAAAAATTTGATGATGATTTATTTCTAAGACAAATCCAGAGTGTTATCTTCTTTGTGGAAGGGAGGGACAAATAATTTATTTGACTTGATAATTTTTTTATTTTTTTATTTTCATTTTTTTCTTGTACTCAGGGCAAATGAAATGTAGTGAACTGTAGGACAAATGACTTCTTTTCATAAAGAAGAAAAATAAATTTTTTTCTTTTACTCAGGACAAATGACTTTTCTTCGTAAAGAAGAAAAATATTTTTATTTATTTTTTTCTTGGACTCGGGGCTTAAGAGGCAAATGAAATGTAGTGAACATTGTACAATGAATAAGTAAAATGAGTTTAAGCTTGTTACCATATTATGCACGTGTGGTACGAGGCCATTTACATCATCATGAGACATGTATAAGTGCTTCGTCTTCATCCGAAGAATTCTCTCCTTCAGCCAGAGCGCACGAGTCTGATAGTTATTTAATTTTTTTTTATATTCTCTATTTATTATTGTCTTTTATTCTTATTTTATCTTTCTTTATTCAAAAAAAAGAACTTCGTCTACTCATCTTAAGCTCATCCTACTTCAAAATGTCTCAATGATTGCCACTTTATATACTATCTCTTTCACGTATATTGACACCCAGGCAAACTACAAATCTTCATTCCAACTATTTTATGTCAGTTATATGGATCTTTATTTTGTTGTCGGTTAGGCTGTTGAATGCAACATCCTCAAAAAATTCAATAACGATAATGTTATTTCTCATTATTTTCCTCTGCATCCATTTTAATCTTCCATGACTGCTTGTAAAAAGCTTTAAGTGGTCAAATGTCCCTTGCCATAGAACTGAAGTGTCACCACCGAGGCCATATCCATTCTTGCATACTATATGTGCAATCATTCTCATTCTATATTACTTAGTTACACCATCATCTATCTTATTAACCTCATTAGGCGATACTCTTTTTCTCGTATGCTGATTTCTAGCTACACAACATCCTTAGTAGCAATAACTTCCATGCCATGTTTTGCCATTTAGTTCGAAAATTCCATTTTGCTCTTCTTTTTCTCTGCCATGTTCTTATATTGTATCATGTTTTACCATTTAGTTCTCAAATTCCCTTTTACTCTTCTTTTTCTCTGCCATGTTCTTATACACAATTCTCATGCCATTAACCCAAGTTTAATCTGAATCCTTCAAGCAGGTCCCAAGATTGAGAAAGGAGGGAGGATATGTGACACAACTGACAACTTTAAAATTTGGTCAAATTAATATGTACACAAATCCAAACCACATATACTACAGTGTAAATCAAAGCATCCACCTGGCCGTGGCATCAGCACAATGAAGAGAAATAAGTGAAAATCTCAAAAGAATAGTGAGCATAATCATGGCACTGAAAAGGTTAGCCAGCATAGATATGCTATGTAAAATAAATCCAGATTTGCAGAATATATATTATACAAGATTATAGAAGATCTAAGGACTACTTATGATCTTAAATAAACCATATTCTGGGAGGTAGACCCAAAAAAAGAGACAATTGACAATTAACGAAGATACTCCATCTCCATCAAACTAAAGACAATTCAGATACGATGATTTTAGGGATTGTTTGAATTCTTACATCCATGGATGTTGCAACATGATGATTCATGCATCTACTTATGAAACACCCAAAACAGGCTGGTGGTTCTTGGCTTTTTTGCAAATGCAGCAATCATAAATCCCTTATTTGGTTGCTCACTTTTAGAGTCTGCATCAAATGGGCATATTACAAAGACGTGAACCAAATGTAACTTTTGTATCAATGAATTTGTGAATATTGCACCAAAACCAAATTAGCTGCTCAATTAGGTGTAGGCGAAAAAATAGCTTATGTCATTAACAACCACTTGTGTTCGGGGCAAATGCAGGATACAAAGAATCAAGGCCAATGAATGTATATAAGTAGATATGCAAGCCATATGCAGGAATCCCAGTAGCCCCTAAACTGACAAGGTAGACAGCAAGTTCAATGCTATAAGTTAATAAGGAACATAATAAAGAACACTAAACTGCCAAATTACCCATTCCTGGTTGAAGCATGCAGGAGGTTGTGTGGCCATTTTTGTGTTTTCATAAGTTGTAGATTATGAGAGTTCATTAAGTATAACATCATCTTGTTTTGTAGATGAATCAGGTGGAGACTTCACAAACTACATGGTTAATTACATTAGCAAACATTACAATTAAATTAAATGGAATGAAAAAAAAAATCAATTAAAGTACTAAACTTCGTAGACATCTAATAACAACAAGACATCCTTAGAAAAAGATTAATGGAAGTTGGTTACAAGAATCCTTATTCGTTGCACAGCTCCAAATCAGATACCGATATAAGAGGCATCGAGTTATTGTCTTTACTTCTGCGCAAATGTTATTTTCATCTTCATCTCCTGTTTGCAGGACAACCATCTTGATTTGTCCAATCTTTGCTAATTCATTCTAATCTCTCAATCAGACAAGATGGTTGCCACTGTTTCATCTTCCATTATGTTAATCATCTAGTAAACTACCTTTACTAGTAATATTGATCATCCAGCTCAGAAAAATGTACCAAAGTGATTAAAGAATGACTCAATTACTCTTTAACGTTAGATACTCAAAATGATCCTTTGCCTTAAAGATACTATGAAGAAGGTAATCATCAATTTTCAAATAAACAACTAAAATGTCGAATGGTATCGTATCAATTTTCAAACCAGAAATTAATATAGATTTAAAAACAATCACGTATCGTTCGCAGAAATCCATGATGTTGATTCAAAGGTATATGATGACAATAATAAGAAGATGAAGAAAGATGCAATGAAGATTCTAGAGAGTACCAGTAGCTAGCTAATCGAACAGACTGCTGCCGCTCCTGGAGCTCTACGGCAGATCGCGCGAGTGCAACCCCAAACTTCGTCCTCTCAGGGATCAGCTTAATCGCACTACCATAAGTATTCCGCCAAAAGAAATAAAGTTAATCGATGAAGCGATCTGTGATGGAGGATGCGACCCACGAAAATTGACGCCCTGTTGGGCGGCGGCGACAGGAGAGGGGAAGCCCTGGGGAACTCGACACCCAGGTAAAGGAAGAGGGTGAGGGTGAGGGCTAAGAAGAAGAAGACCATCAGGAGGAGGAGGTCCAGGATCAATTCTGCTGCCTAAACGGGAAGCATTGGAGATCGAGGGAAGAGCCGGCCGGCAGCCATAGGCGGAGGAGTCAGAGGACGGAATCTTGTAGCCGAAGGGGCCCCGTCGGAGCGACGGCGACTCGCTTCACGCGGCCCTCCAGAGATGTCGGCGACTCGCAATCTCCTTTGCAGACTCTGAAGCGCAAAAAAAGTTGCAGCGGTCCTTCGTGTGATTCTGGCAAATCACATAGCGAAACGTGGCACTTAAATGATGATGTGGCTTGAAATGATTTGTTGGTAATTTTTTTACGTCCCGAGTTTCAAATAACAGTGCAGGCAGATGTTATTGGATCAAATCTAAATTCAAACCCGATAAGTTTACGCAGATGTTATTGGATCGATTCTAAATCCCAACCCGATAATTTTACGGGATCCTCACCCGGATCCCGGTCCAATTAAATAAATACGAGTCGTCGTGTGCTTTCAAATATCAATTCCGAATGCAATTATAACATTGCCACGGCACGACATTAGCTGATCAAGTCAAACAACAAACAAATAGACGATGAGTTACGAAATCAAATAATTCTCCACCATATGAATATGAATGCTACACCAACCCCCAGTCAAATCAATTCAACAGCCGACAAGGAAGTTGGACCCCACATCTCAGGTACGCTCATGGATTTTGTGTTTTCTTGGGTAATTGAAGCTTCCAAGTATCCGCAAACGTCCGCGTACTGGAAATAATGCGGACTCTGGAATCGTACCTGTCCCCCGCACTCGACGAACTCCCATTCTCATCGTCCCCCGGCCCAACTACCTAGACCCCACCTTTATTGTCCAATCAAGTGGTCCCGCGAATCCAGGTGTCCGTTTCTTACATACCTAATCACGTGGTTCATGCTGTTGTGCATCGTTCTGTTCCTAATAATAATTGCCACGAGAGAGAGAGAGCGAGGGAAGCGAGTACGGTCGCCGTCTTCAATCCCTAGTCTCTTGATCTGGAGAACACCAGCTCCAAGTGAATCCCCTTCGATTTCTCGATCGCAGGGACTGGGAGAGCGAGAGAAGAGGTGAGACGAACCTCGAAGAGGAGCTGGAGGATAGGGTTGGATTGGATTTGGTGTTAGTTTCTTTGCGTTGTCTGCATCGGGAAGGGAGGAGGGTTGAGATTTCATGTGTGGCGAAGGGCGGTTGACAGAAGAGAGTGAGCACGCATCGGGTTGAAATGGCACAAGACGGTGCTGTTTCCGCTGCGTGCTTACTTCTCTTCCTGTCAGTCAGCGTTTGTTGTACTTTTCTTCCGGCGAGAGCGAGGCTTGGAGACCCGTGCCTTTCCCCTCCGCCCTTTGTCCATGACTGGTCTCTTTTCGGAGTTTCCATCCATTGATCTTAATGTTGGCTCGTCGGATATGTTTGACGAAGACTGGTGGATGGTTGATGGTTTTCGAGGTAGAGATTGACGCAAGTTGTTCTTTTTTTAATCTGCCTATGCCTCTTTGTTTCTTTCATGTGTTCTTTCGTTTGCTCCAAGGAACTGCAAGTGATAGTAATCGATTTCTAATGCTACAGTTTTCTAATACTTGGGGGAATTTTAGGAAAGAGCGTGACTTTTGAGAAGGCGAGAGAGTACAGCCTGCCCCTATTCGGATCGCGTTGAAGTGGATGAGCGAGAGAGCAAGGAACCAGAAAGAGTACATGCGCTAGGCCTTTCCCTCAGCAGATCGACTGTTCGGCCATTACGGAAGCCATTGTCTGCCAGTTTTACCTTCCTTCTTGTTCCCCTCTTCTATTTTATCGTCTTTGTTTAGTTTTTCTTCGTTCCTCCTTTGTTTTTTGCTGGTCTTGACTGGGGTTTGGTGGTAAGCTAATGGGTATGGAGAATAGGTGCTCTCGAATATTCATCTCTGCAGTAGCTTCGCCAGGTTGCAGAAAAGTTCAGTTTTGGTTACATATTATGAATTGTAAGGTTCTCTTTCTTCTAAGCATGTTTTCCCCTTTGTTGTGATCATGTCTCATTTGCCTCGGATGTTTCTTTGCCAGGTTGGAGAAAGAATTAGTTTTGATGATACTCCATGAACCGTAAGCATCACTCGCTTTTGTTTTTTTGCCCCTTATTTCTTTCATTCGACCATCTTTGCACTCAAAGAGTCTATTTTTTTGCTTCGTTTTACAGCCATAAATGTTTCTTGTTTTGGATAATGAAGTACCTTCCTTTTCTGTTTTGATGATGATGACAACTCCTGAATGGTTCAGGTACTTCTTCATTCAGGGTTTGGTAATTATCGGCCACATTCACTATCTTCATATTTTTCATTCCACGTGCCTTGGTTGACTAGATGAACAAATTGAGCGAAAGGGAGCGATCTTTCATGACCTTTCCATATCAAGATGTCAGGTTCTTTTAATCTTCACCTAAGCGTTCGTTTCTTGCCTCCACTTGGAGGTGGTACCATGGCTGCAGTAGCTTATTCCATGACGATCCCTCCTGGGTTTACTATCCTTATGGCTCAAAATCTTGTTGCTTGACTTTGTGGAACTCATAACTTTACTAGTTTATAGTTGGTTCCTCCTGGGTGTCTCTCTTTCCTTTTTCTGGTATGACACCGAGAAACAGACTGTTGCAAAAAAAACCCCACAAGTTGTTTTGGAAGATGATATTTTTCGTTTTATTGCAGTCCACCTTTGGTGGTCCAGCCACTCATTTGTTTCTCTGTCGTTTGTGGTTGAAGGAATGGTTCGGTGTCTGACCATGGAAGACGACATTTTTATTATTTTCTTTACCCACTGAGGTAGGCTTACACTTTTGGTGTATTGCTCATCTTCTATAATTCCTTAAATTTGTTACATTGCTTTTTTTAATCGATTTAATTTAATGAATAAGGATTTGACAACGTGAGGAGTGTCTTGTATTAGTTTAGACAATAATTTTAATTTTTTAGGTAGAACAGTCCATAGATTGTCTGGCAGAATCGACCTCTCATTAAGATGGACAACTTTTGGACTAGGTTGACTTCGTTTTTTATATGAAAGAGCATGATTGACTTCCTTCCAAGGAATCTGAAGGATCTTAGGTTTGTCTGCATTGTTCATCAGCTCAGGATATTATTTGGTAAAGGATTCATCATACTGTATTTCAAATTTTTGGACCTTCTGCATTTACACAAAAAAGAAGCTTCATATAGGAGCCCAAAGTCCATGTTAGTTGTAGGAACTAGATTTTTACTGGCTTATCAGATTATGCACTTGGATTTTCTTGCTAAGATACTTTTAGTAACAGTAAGCAATTAGGGTTATGTCACTTTCATCAAATTATTATCAAGATGAGGTTGTTCTTAGACCATTGAGCAATCTACCAGCAAATTCATTTAGGACAAGACTTTTGGATGATAACTATATGGTAGGAAAATTGAAGTAGTAACTTAGATAGTAGAGCTTTTAAAATTTTTGGTTGCAAGGATCTTCTGAATTGTCGCCACAATGAAAAGATATACCAACTGATATCTAGTAAGTCCATGATTAGGTCATGGAGTGCCCAACTATAAAGTAGTCCTATGAATTGTCCTGCCATTTTGAGTTATTCATGATGAATTAGGAGAACAATGTTAGTTCTCCCAATTTTCCTTTTTATTAATTCCTTCTAACTTGAGAAACAGAGTTCTAATTTGAATCCTGTAATTAGTGCTATTAATGCATATTAAATACGCTAGTATGATCCCTTCTTTATGTTCATAAATATAGGAGAAGACATTTATATTAGCTGAAATTATTTAGGTATTAAGGTAGAAACATGCATCTCTTCTAACTTCTGGAGTTCTGTTAAACTTTTAGATATCTAGATTATTTTGAGTTTAAGATCCTGCTATTTTGCTATTGGCAACCATGATGCATATCATCCATTAGTCACCCTACCACGAGGACTGTATATCCCACTTAGTGGTGGATCTGGAACAAATAATATTTACCTTGTCTTGACACCATCAGTACTATCAAAAGTAGCTGTTCTTGTTGTCTTTAAGCTGAATGACTTATGACGAATCACTTAGTCCACATTCTATCTGCCATAACCATTTTACAGTTGAACAATGTTTATAATCAAGCTAATAAAGTATTACATTATGCATATTATCAGTGGTTGTACTACATATTTGAAGTAGATAAAAATTCATTATCATATAACTTGGAAAATGAAGGCTACATGCAAAGTGCTGATTAAACATCAATAAGATTTATCCTATTTATATTCTAATGATATCATCCTCTTGTGATAGTTCCAAATTTCTAAGTCATATTCAGTTGATTGCTTCTTGTTTTGTCATTTCCCCAGTCAAACGTTAATTATCCTTTCTTTTCTACATCGGTTTTATTCAGTGGCTGAAGGCCTTGTCTTGCAGACGGTTAAGTTGGCTCTTGAGAAGAGTCAGACTTAACTGGTCTTGCTTCCGAAGCCTTTATCCTTCTACTTCAACTCTTCATAAATTTCCCTATACATTCGTAATAGTAGTAGTACAGCCAGGCATCCTAGGCTTAAATGAGTTTGCAAGCACTGGAATACTTTAAGGAATACAAGGACCAAGCGTAAGCTTGGGTCAAATGTGTAAGAGGCATATATCTTTTTTTCTGAATATTCGAACACCTAGCTGAAATATTATGATATCAAGGTGAACATGATTATCTTTAAAATTACAGAGTTGAGTTATTATGATAGGAAGGTGAACATATTTATCTACAAATTACAGCGACTTGAAATTCAGACTGACCTTTTATGCGCATAGTCAGATTTTACAACGTAAATACATCGACTCTGGACTGTTTCACTATGTAATGCAAACTTTGATGAAAGAGATAGATAAAGAAAGACTTTATAGGACATCCCAACAACAATATGTCATAATGTTCCAACTATTTAGAGTAAGCTACATGGATCTTATCTCTCTATTTAGCTAAATTTAGGCAAATATCACTAGTCAAACTAAGAGCGATCAGGGTTGTTTTAATTAATTTTAACAAAGTGTTTTAGGTCCTTTCTATCTCTACTAGAACTAGTAGCGTTAATTGATTCATTCCATCCGCACTAGTAGCCTGATTTTTATGTGAACTAGATCATGAATAAAGTCACAATCAAGTCACTTGATCATAAGCTAAATTTACATCAGTTTTCTTTTTTCCGAACTTAATAGAAGATTCGATGTGCGCAATTCTATCCGCAGCCTATTTGGAACTTCTTAAACTCGAACCTAGATGACTAAATAATTTTTCTAACTTGAATTTTTTTCCAAAATATAACCTCCTAGCATATACAAGTTCATGCTGGACTCAAAGCACCATAAAATTACCACAATGAATATATACAAATAGGAATTGACTTCTTGGGATATCTGACCTTCACAGGGCTGTCCATCCAGGTTGGAGGCATGAATCTATGCAGAACAAGTTTTATCGGCCAGAACATATAAAGCCAATTGATCTTGGTTAAATGATGGTAAAAGTATGACCATAACAATCTGACTAGGAAGCATACTAATATTTCGATGAAGATCCTTATTTCTAAACAATATTGTTGTAAATACTTTAGAATTGATAAATACAACTTAAGCTGATATTGACATGCAATTGTTGATTGGCACAGGTCAGCACAGTTTAGGCTAGCCAGCATTATTGGCTTGGCATGGATTTTGGCATACTCGACACATGCAATCCTTATTTGTAAGTATTTTTTTTATTAAATATTTTCATAGGACATAGTTGACTCTATAGTGAGGAACAGAACTTTTTATAGTCATGCAAAAAACTTCTGAAAAATTCTTTCCCTAAATATTAGAATTGTTTTGGGTTTAAAATTTATAATCTCCCATTCTTTAGTATTACTTGAAGAAATTAATATACATCTATCTCAAATTAAATTGCATGTATAGGAAATCGATTGGAAATAGCACGTGTGGAAATGTGGAAACAGAAGCTAAGCAGAAGTCTAAACTCTAAAGCATGAAACAGAAAACATAACAAACTATATAGAATATCCACTACATATTCTAGTTCTCTGCATGTACATCAGTCCTATGTCCTTGTTACCGATGCATAAATACTTGTTCTTGTTCAGGCATTTAGATGATTCAACCACCAGCAGAATTTAGACTTTGTATGGTGACCAGCATGTTTCATAAAGTGTCAATAGCATCGCAACCTAAAATTGGTCCTGAATTGTATTTTTTATTGGTCTGAGAATTCACAAATACCAAATTAAGACACTACCTTTTTTAGATCAATTGGAAAGTAATGTTAATATCAAAAATTTCAACTTAAGAGTTTCTGAGATGTACATCTTTTTTTTTTTTTCCACGAACTGTAATAAAGGTCTAGTTGAACATTATGGGTTATTCCTGTGGATTATGTAATCTGCTATGTTGTGTACATGTATATGTTAATAGATTGATCTGACCAGCTAATTCTATCAACAGGTTGTGTAAGAGTTTGTGGATATTGAATCTTTCTTTTGGTGGACAAGTCTGCTACGATAAGATAGTTCTGTTATGATCTATTTTCAAATCATGATAATGATCTTTTTGTGTGTGTAGGATAAGGTTGTATACGTTGATCCTTTCCAAACCTCAGTGATATGCCTCATGTGCTAGGCCACCCTTTGTTTAGGATAGTGGTTTTTTAATCATCTTCTCGAATAGTTAATTTGGAGTTAGCCTTTAAGTCATGAGACTTACAGATTTGCAAAATGTTTAATTATTTTTTCTCTGATTCATACAATGAACTGACAATTGGTTTGCGGTCAACTACGGATGATTATCGTAGTTACTGCAATTATAGTTGTCATCGATTCGCTGAATTCCCTTTGATGATATAATCATGTTTATTGTTTGAGAGTCTTTTTAAGTTGTCTCGTCTTATTTTATGGAGTCTGAAATTCCTTATAGTCATATTTAGGAATGAAGCAATTTAAGAGGAGATTTCTGTATATGCTGGGTGATTTCTGTATATCTGGTATATAACACTCAACTTCTCATCTACCATATATAATGAATATGCAAAGTTAAAGCAGGAACAAGAAAAGGATCTGATTAACTCAACAGTAGCCTACATTTGTGGTAACTTCAATGGCAGTTGCACTCACAATTTCTCAGGTTGTGTGGTAAATCGTAAGTTGAAATTGTCATAGTACTCGAGAATTAGTATGTATGTCAAGAATTAACATTTATTTATAGATTATGTTGTTGGGGATGTGTTGTCCGCTTAACTAAATTCTGAAAATTTATGAACTAGGTTCTTTCAAATAATTGTTTTTCTCAAAACTTATGTGAGGACCTAATCATCAAATGCCTCTCTTTTTATTTGCCAAAATATCACTGTACTGCTTTTTGGAAGCTTTGATCCTCAGATACTTTCTCCTCATCTTTTAGTGGCATTTTAGATTCTTCTTAAACCACAGTTGTATTGCTTTCCTATTCATCAGGCAAATCTGCACAATGAAACATGCAACGGTTCCATATGGTGTAGTAGCATTTTAAATTCTTCTTAAGCCACATTTCTGTTGCTTTTCTATTCTTCAGGCAAATCTGCACAATGAAGCACGCGATGTTTCCGTATGGTTTAGTAGCATTTTAGACTCTTCTTACACCACAGTTCTGTTGCTTTTCTATTCTTGGGGCAAATCTGCACACAATGAAACATGGGATCTTTCCATATGGTTTAGTAGCATTTTAGATTCTTCTTAAACGACAGTCGTGTTGCTTTTTCTATTTTTTTCAGGCAAAATTCAAAGTGTTGTTCTTTCATTCTCCTTTCAGGTTTTAGATTACATCTCATATGGACACAATCTTACAGACAAACAATAAGGCTGCAGCCAGCTATACTGTTTAAACAGAGCCAAAATGCTTGTCAACTGCATGTGGCCTTAAATGGATGTGTAAGATTTTGCTTCAACGGACTTGCATTACTTACTTCAGGGGATGGAGAGGAGGAAGGAAGAGTAAGAAGAGAAAGGAGGAGGCATTGCTCCTTCCTTCCACGCGGAAACTTTTTCCACTTGTAAATTTGGTATTAGCATCAATTGTTACTGCCGTTTATTCTGTGAGGCAAAATTACATATCGCTTCAAAACAATTAATTTCAGTTTAGCATAAAATTTAAAAATCTTCATATGTCCATTGTAGTTGGTCGAAATATTAAACATCATTAACATCTATTGGAAATTTAGTTGTTAGAACATTAAGAGTATTTTAGATATAGTTTCTACTTTCTAATTGAACTTATCTAGTGTCAAATTTTAGTTAGTCATGATTAATCTGAATTATATGGATGGATGTTAATTAGAGGGATATATGTGCTATATGAATTTGCTAGGGTAAATATATTAATTTCAAAACTATATTGCTTATAATTAAGAGAGGTATGCGATCGAGAGAAAGAAAAAAAGAAAAAAAGAAAGTTTCTTTCACACGTGGCTTGTAATTAACGGGGTTGATTGGAATAATAAATTTATCCCCAAAGCCAACGCTGGGTGGGACTATTTTATGGGCTGCCCTATGGGCCTTCTGGGCCTGCTTATGAAATAGATTGGATTGGAACGGTGGGCCATCATCATCATCATCATCGACCCCTTGCATGAATCATCCAAACCATCTGATTCACGGGTAAAAGAAAAAGGATTGCATACTTTGATATCAATACTTTCCATCAGAGAAAATTATTTAAATATTTTTATACTCATAGTAAACGAACGGTTGAGATCAAAAGTTGGAGTGTGATGGACGGTCATGGAGGGGGAACCTTTTGCATGATTTGGTGTAAAGAAAGCATTGGCTTTCGTTGGTTGGTTGTCCTACGAAAGCCACGAGCCATCAAAGTGTCGGGGGGACACCTGCGCTTGTGATTAGGCTGAGGAGCTTAAATAAGCAAAGTTGGACCGACCGGTGCTGCTTGCCAGTTCAGTGTTACTTGGGAGGAACGCACTCACTGGAACTCAACATCTAACCGAGCTGTCTTATCTTTTTCATGTATTCATCTCTCTCTCTCTCTCTCTCTCTCTCAAGCTATATTTATAATCTTTTACATGTCTGCATCTAAAAATTCGATTATTCTTTTACAATATGATTAGATATATTAACCACTAGTAATACAGTAAATTAATTTATCAAAATAAATTGTATCATTCGATATAAGACGATATCTCCGGTTTTACGCTATATCTTAATTTTTTTTATAAAACTAAATAAGTATTTGGCAATTGACATTCGTCGGTCACATCAGTATCGACCAATATGTATGATATCAACATGAAATAATCCTTTGCCCATTACCTATTAGACAACCCCCACAACTTTCATACATGTTGTAAGAAGGAAGATGACACCACCACTTGCTCTTCTTCTTAGCATGCTAGCCAGCCCTCAAAGTGCACCCCAAATCATGGCAGATACATCATGTATTTCTTCCAACTGCAGATGGTGGTGGGTTTTCAGGCATTGCAGAAAGTAGACTTCATTCATAACTTCCTTCTCCTTTTTATCCTTTTTTTCTTTCAGGTAAGCTCATGATGAAAGCTTCTTCAAAGGTAGGAGGAGGAGGAGGAGTTCACTTCTCCCGCCCGCATGATGACAGTCTTCTCTCACACCTCAAGACTATAATGCCAAATAGATACACTGTCACTGGATCAATGCTCCACCATATAGAACAACACTCTGCCATACTGTTCCTTATCAAAACTTTTAGCTTTCAAAATATATGGTTTTAAATTAATGACAGATAGACCTTTATAAGTTCTTTAAGATTATTATTCGCTTTAGCAACATTCATATTCTTAATAAATCTACATACATGAACAAAATAAATATTATTTTAATTTTTTATTCCTTTGAATATCACACGTGTTAATAATATAAGCATTAATAGTTGGTTAAAGATCATGTATCTATAATCGATCAATATTAGTGAAACTATATTATAACTAGCGATTCAACTATGAATATTTTTCTTCGTATCGTTTAGAATTTATTATTCACTTCAATCGGTATATTTAATATTATCAAGACTATCCATTTGATTTTCATAGTTTCCTTATACCTCGTATTTGATGAAAGTATAATATATTCGATGAATAATTATTCTATTTTCGCTATATGATTTCTTATTATACGGATCCAAAAGAAATGATCCTCTAATGCATTACTTCAATATATATTAATGAAATATATATATTTTTCTCAATAGAACTATAAAGATTACTACAAATTCTCAAAAGTCTTTTGTTGGATATGAAAATAATAGCGCTATTTTAAAATCAAAGACTCGTATCAATTATAACAACTTATAATATTTAAAACCTTAGATATTTATGATCAATCTTACACTGTTTAACTTTGAACATGATAATAATTTTTATCTTAAATAAAATCGTATCTTATCTAATTATATATTTTAATTTAACATTTTAATATGAACGATCGAAACAGTCAGTCAACGCAACACAAGGTTTTTGCACATAAAAGATATATGATATGAGAGATCTAAAAGTCGTCTTATGTAATATTAGGAATGTTGGAAGGAGGCTCAAAGCTTTTTTTCTCTGTGGGATATCCATCGTCTCTGTAAATAAAATATGGCCTCCACAAATTTACATCACGCAAGAAAAATAGGACCCATCATAAGTTGGTTTTTGTCTTGGATCCTCCTTCGAATACAACCAATCTCCGTGTTGGATTGCTTGTCGGTTCAGCTTTTCTCCATTAAATTCTGCCATTACCACCATTTACTGACCTTTCTATAACCTCCTGTCACCACCTCTCTCTCTCTCTCTCTCTCTCTCTCTCATTACTGCTCATTCTACAGCCAGTCACCATCTCTCTCTCTCTCTCTCTCTTATGATGAGAGTAGCTAACTTGCGTGTTGTCCTCCTTGTCTGTGTTTAGCCTCCATAACAATACAACCTCGAGCCATCACTCTCCCCAAAAGAAAAAAATAACTCTTGTGCTTCTGCTTCTTCTTCTTCTTTCTTTGCAAGCGCAAAGGACGCCCCAAAGGTGATTCAAAAATGGAACTTTTGGACGCCTAAAGGTGCCCATCCAGCCTAGTCATCTCCCTGAGGTGTGCCTCCTGACCATTATAAGCGTTGCGGAGATGGCGGATGCAGGCGAGGAGCAAGGAAGGAGGTGAAAGATCACATCTTTCCATGACCCAAACACAGCAATCTCTTGTTTGCTTCCCTCTCTTGGATTCCTAATCCTTCCCACCAGATGGGGATCGGCTTCTTCTCCTTGTACCTCTCGGTTTCCCTGCTGCTGAGGTGCTCGGCCTCGCAGCAGCCGAACACGGACGCCGCCTTCGTCTCCGACTTCTTCCGGAGGATGGGGGTGGCTCCTTCCTCCACCAGTGGCAACTCCTCCGAGGTTTGTTCGTGGAGAGGAGTGTCCTGCGACGGCCCAACCGAGAGAGTCATCAGCTTGGTGGCTCCCGGCTTCGGCTTCTCCGGTCCGATCCCCGAAACCACCATCGGGAAGCTCGGCGTGCTCCGAGCCTTGGATCTCAGCGGCAACGACATCACCGCGCTCCCTTCAGATTTCGCGGAATTGAGTGGTTCTCTCGGGCACCTCAACCTCTCCTCGAACAACATCGCCGGAGCGATCCCCGGCATCATCGGCAACTTCAAGCTGATGGAAAGCCTCGACCTTTCGCGCAACAGCTTCTCCGGCGAGATCCCCAGGGAGGTGGGCTCGCTGTCGAGCCTGCGGGTCCTCGACCTCAGCAGGAACTCGCTGGAGATGAGCATCCCGGACACGGTTCTCGGATGCGTCTCCCTTGTCTCGCTCGATCTTTCCCACAACAGGTTGAATGGGAGCGTTCCTGATGGGTTCGGTGCTGCCTTCAAGAACCTGAGCGCTTTGGATCTCGCACAGAATGAGATCAGCGGGAAGATGCCAGACTTGACGGGGTTGGACTCCATCTCCTACCTCAATCTCTCCCGCAATCGTTTCCGAGACTTGGTTCTTGGTGGATTCCGGGAGCCATTGCAGGTCGTGGACCTGAGCAAGAACCAGTTCCACGGCCTCATCTCTCAGGTAAACCGCAGCACCACCTCCAACTGGACTTCTCTGGTGTATCTCGACATGTCCATGAACCAACTCGGCGGAGAGTTCTTCCCCGGTCTGGGAGATCTGAGGTCACTGAAGCATCTCAATCTTGCGTTCAACGAGTTCTCCTCCCAAGAATTGCTTCACATCCAACTGCCTTCTGCTCTAGAATACCTGAACTTGTCGGGAACCGATCTCGCCGGCCGAATTCCACCTGACATCTCTCGATTGCTTGACCTCAAGGTGTTAGATCTTTCTCAGAATCATATCACCGGCAACATTCCCGAGCTGATCACCCGAAACCTGCAAGTGATAGACCTCTCGGTGAACAATCTCACAGGTGAAATCCCACAGTCCTTACAACAGAAGTTGTCCGGTATGGAAAGGTTCAATCTTTCCTACAACAATCTCACCTATTGCGGCGAGAAATTCTCACCGGAAACTCTCCGTTCATCGTTTATCGGCTCGCAGAGTGACTGCCCCATTGCGGTAAATCCAGATGGTATTGGATCCAAGGGAAGCAGACACGAGAATTTCAAGCTAGGCTTGGCCATAGCTTTTTCGGTGTTCTTCCTGTTAGCAGGGCTGATCTGCCTCGGCCTTGCTTGCCGAAAGAGGAGGAGACCCTGGGCGGTGAAGCAGCCATCGTTCGAGGAGGAGCTAAATGCCTCAGGCCCCTTCTACTTCCAGGCAGATTTCTCAACTTGGGTTGCAGATGTCAAGCTTCCTACCTCAGTCCCTGTCGTCATCTTCGAGAAGCCATTGCTGAGCTTCACCTTCGCTGATCTCTTGAATGCGACCTCCAATTTCGACAGAGGAACCTTACTCGCAGAAGGAAGGCTTGGACCGGTGTACCGAGGATTTCTACCGGGAGGCATTCATGTGGCCGTGAAGGTTTTGGTCCACGGATTAACAGTGACGGACCAGGAAGCTGCAAAGGAGCTCGAGCGGCTTGGCCAGATCAAGCACCCCAATTTGGTGCCATTAACCGGCTACTGCTTGGCCGGGGATCAAAGGATCGCCATCTATGATTACATGGAGAACGGGAACCTACAGAATCTGCTCCATGATCTACCACTGGGTGTGCAATCAACCGAAGACTGGACCAGTGATACATGGGAGCAAGAGAATCCTGGCACGCAAAGCATCACGACCGAAGGAATGACTACTTGGAGATTCCGGCAGAAGATTGCATTAGGTGCTGCAAGGGCGCTGGCATTTCTCCATCACGGATGCTTCCCCCAGATGGTTCACAGAGATGTGAAAGCAAGTAGCATTTATCTTGATTCGGCAATGGAGCCCAGGTTAGCTGATTTCGGACTATCGAACCTGGTCGGGACAAGCATGGAAGGCGGCATGGCTCGTTTTTCACCAGGCTATGCTCCTCCAGAGTTCTCGGAGTCTGAAAACACATTGGCAACAACAAAATCGGATGTCTACGGGTTCGGGGTAGTTCTGTTTGAACTCCTCACGGGGAAGAAACCGATCGGAGATGAATATGCTGAAGACAAGGAGACTACTTTGGTCAGTTGGGCAAGGGCATTAGTGAGGAGAAAGGAGCTCGCAAGATTAATCGATCCAAAGATGCGGGAAACAGGAGCAGAGAAACAAATGGAGGAAGGGCTGAGGATTGCTTATCTGTGTACAGCTGACTTGCCGTCGAAGAGGCCATCCATGCAGCAGATTGTGGGTCTTCTCAAGGACATTGAGCCTGTTTCTGTTTGGCATTGAATTGAATTGAATTGCAGAGCTTCCATTCAGGTGTTTGCATTTCCCTACTACTCTGCAGCTCTCTCCAAATCAACTGTATGAGCTACCTCTGAAACTGAAGCTCAGTTTTTCTTTCGTCTTCATTTTTATTGGGCTATCGTTGTGGTCTCAGTATGCCACCATGAAATAGAAAGATGGAACCCTCAGGTTACATTCTCACAGAACTTGTTATAACCTCCTTGGTTTGTCCTTGCATTCTTTTCTTCTATGACAAATTACTTGCCATCAAACTAGTATTATGTCTTTTTGTCCATCAAACCTTCTTCTTCGACTTGCGAGTGTCAGCTTCTGGCTTTTGTGTTTGATTTTGGTAGATTGCAACTGTTTTTGTTTGAGGAAAATCCTTTATCAGCTCACCAGATGTTAATCCTTGTCATGTAGTATTAGCGAAAATTGAATCGGAACATGTTTGACATAATTAATCTGCCATCTTTGTATCGATTAATGATTTAAAATGCTAAGCAAAACCAAAAGTTTGACAACTAGGATAAGTAATATTTCCAAGTTGAAAAAAATCAATCAACCTACTGGCCTCTTAATATGCCACATATTCCAAAAAGCAAACAACTGAGCAGATTATTTTGAATCACCTTCTCTTATCTTAATGCCTTTTTGCCTCATATGTATGAATTCCTAAGATAGAATAACTACTCAATTGAAATAGTATTAGGTCAACCAAATCAGAGCAGTAGTGGTTAAACATAAAAAGATAAAGCCTATTTTATTTAAGGTTGTGAATTTGCATGTTCTTTTTTTTCTTTTTGTGCTGGTGAATGATTTCAAATGCTAACCAAAGTTTGACAACTAGGAGTCCAGGATAAGTAATATTCCCAAGTTGAAAGAATCAATCAACCTACTGGCCCAATAATATGTATGCCATATTCCAACAAGCATACAGAAGAGCAAATTATTTTGAATCATCTTCTCATGTCTTACCATCTCTCGTAATTATTGACTTCTAAGAGAGAGGATTAAGTATCCAGCATATATGATAATTAATCAAGGAAATCAAATCTGAACTTAAAGCCTATGTTATTCAAGGTTGTTAGTTTCAGTGTCATGGTAACTGAGATAAACAATTGAGTACTCTTGATCAATCAAACCATACTCACTTATCAAAGGTCAAAAGTTCAAAGTTTCTTCGGATATACTTTCAAAGGTGCTAACTAGATTAACCGACAAAGATTTAAGTAAGTAATATTTAAAGTTCAAAGATAAAATCTCTTATATTTAAGTGTGTTGGTTTCAGTGTCCTGTTAACACAATCAATAATCTCATGAAAGCTTTGATGAAGCAAACTTAAGATTTTCTTTTTATTATTATGTTTGAAGTGCAGCAATATTAATTTTGGCCACAGGAAGGCACTAAAATTCTTCCCCCCCAATGAATGATCTTATCTTACATTGGTCCACTATGAACAGATATTCTTGGACTCTCATGCAAGCATGTGTCAAGTAGTAGTTTCAAATCATTAGATGAGACCTGTGTTCAGCTTATTTATTCTTTTATATCAGACTAGCAAATCATACTCCTTACTCATTAAACCTTGTGTAGCCACACATACAGATTTAATGCAGAAATGCCTTGTAGTGTGATGTGCAGTATAATAAAATCCCTGTCGCCTGCATTAAAAAAGATTAGGTATGAGCACTCATGATGGCAAACCAAACACACCGTTGTTTACTTAATGGCTTGGTTGGTGTGCATGTTTGATGTCTTTGACTTCCATGAGCATTTCAAGGAGGAGGTTACATTTAAGAAGTGGGAACAGCTGATGCACTCTTTATCTTGTCCTCGTCATAACTTCGAATCTCTCATTCGATTTTGTATCCTTTTCCCTCTCTCTCTCTCTCTCTCTCTCTTCTTAGGAAGGTTTGATGGCCCAAACATATCAGTCAGAGGCAGCAGCAGCAGCATCCTCGAGCGTGTTCAGTCAGGCATTTAGTGGGGGAGGTGCAGTAATAGCAAAAGTGAAGAGGTTGGTATCAGGCGATCATCATAAATTCTACTGGTGTTGGGTTGTGCACCTGCGAAGTATACAAAGACGTGAGACACAGTGCCAAGTGACATGGTGAGGTATCATAAATTCTACTGTGCTGAGTTTTATAATATATAGTTGTTGCTTTTATCTACTTGATTATATTTCCTATACTTGTCATTCCCCTTCTTAGATAATACAATCTTCATAAATATTTTACATTCAGTAATTAAGAGTTCATGTGCACGCATGAACTCTTAATTACTAATTTGTTGTTTAATTTTGTAGGAAGAAATGAAGATTTTAAAAGCATAACATATTCCAAGACATTATTTCTCAGGTATTAATTAGGATCAGATAGACAATACACTTGTTCTTTTATCCTTTAAACCATGTTACATGTTTTTTCTTAATATTGATGTTTCTTATTATCTATACAAATGTAAATTTTGCGTGATTAGTAATGTATTTTCTTAGTAACATTCCTAGCATCCTATAGTACTAAGCCTTTAAAGTTATCTAACTTATGGTAATTTGCTCTATTCAGCTTCCTTACCTACCCATTGAGAGGAGCAAATGAAGAATTGTTTTTGGGTCACTTTTGACCATATTATTCCACAATAAACTTTTGAAGTTGGGCATGCTTAATTGATATATCTGATGAATGAACATTGATCTTTATCTCTACTCGGTTCAATCCATTACTATGGTTGCTGACTGCAAAGCTAAAACATTGTGCATGTTCTTGAATGTAGGTCAACAACATATAATAATATTGTATGCAATATTAGATCACAAGATAAAGTAGTCTATTCGTAGGATAAAGCGATTATTAACCGCAGGTAAAGAAATCTATTGCTGCGATTACTGCGATTTTATTATTAGATCAACCTTTTTTCCTGTGGTTGGACTAACCGTAGTTATAAGTTATCCCAATGTAATCTTTAGATATATGGCTGGTGGCACCTACATGAACCAGTGGGTAAGACAATTAAGTTGGAAGGACGGTCCATTAACTCACTGGTTCGTCACCACCATTGTTGTCCAGTGGAAGAAGAAAGGAAAAGGAGAGAAGAAGGGAAGAAAGGAGAAGAAACAAAATCTTATTTTTGAAAGTACAGGGATCGAGATACTAATCATTGTTAACTATGAGGGAAATATGTAATTATCCCTATTCCAATGACATATATTGCCACGGAGGTATAGATGTTGCTATGGTAAAAAAAAAATCATAGGGTTATATAACTAAAACCCATAGGTAAAAGTATATTTTGTTGTAGCCATGTTCATACTACAAGCTTCCAAGTGATATCGAGTGCTGAGTGCTGATGCCATTGACGCTCATCGCATGTGTCTTGTCAACTCCATGCTTTCTAATAATACTAACACTATTTATCGTCCTCTCGACATCATCCTTTCAGAGGAGGATACAAAAAAATATAAAAAGGAGAAAGGAGAGGAGGGGTAGTTTAGAAATCTTCTTTGCAACCTCTCAATTATCAATCATATCATTATTACCATAATTTCTTATTTGATCCTTTGATGAATAATCCATGTGAATGCCGATGTTAGAACCCTAACTATGTCGCTCATCACTTCATAAAAAAGAAGACGGTTGCTCGTCACTCGACAAAGATCACTTTTGACGTTGTTAACTCGACAAAGATATGTTATAGAGAGATATGCCCAGTACAAGCAGTTTACTATTTAGAGCTTCCTTCTTTCTATTCACAATCCCTTTACTATTTAAAACCCCTTAAAAGATTAATAAAATAATATTTTATTATTCATATCTCCTCTACTTTGACTTTTACATTTCTATTTTTCTTTTTTCCCTTTCCTATAGACTCCACTTGTGCACCCTATAACTATCGGCTCTTCCCACTGCTTATGCACCCTATGGGTAAAGAAGAAGGATGAGGAGAAGAAAAAGGGAAAAGAAAGAAGTAAAAGGTTATAGGTAAGGAATGAAAAATAATATTAAAATTAAATTATAAATTGATGGCATATATACCTGTTCAAAGTTCTTAATATAGGATTGCAAAGAAGCTTACTATTTGTAGTCCTTTTTTATTATTGACAACCCTTTTTATATTGACAACTCCTTTAAAAATATAATAAATTATTATTTTATTATTCATAACCCTTGTATTACCAATTTTATTTTCTCTTTTTTTTCTTCTCTCACACCCTCTTATTTCATTCTCGTCGATATTGCTCGATATTATCGGATCCTTCTCAAAGTCCCCTCGATGTCATCCTCTAAGGAGGAGGAATAAGAGGTGTAGAAGAAAGAAGAGAAGAAAGAGGAGGAAGAAGAGGTATTTATGTCTATTTGCAAAGAGATAGTTTAAAAATATTTTTAAAAAATTAATAGGGTTGTAAATAGTAAAAATCTTGCTATTTACATCCTTTTACTATTATACTTTGAATATTCATAAGTTATATCTTTGTAAATATAAGTATATGCCTTCAATTTATAACTCAATTCTATAAAATCTTTGTACTCCTTACCTATCATCCCTTTTCTTCTTTTTTTTTTCCCCTTCTTCTTCTCAACGTCTTCCTCGTTTTAATCACCAAGGTTGACATATCATCATCTTCCTCCACTTAATAATCAAAGTTGACATAAATAATAAAAAAACTGATGATAAAATGGGATGAATTGAAGATGGAAGAGAAGAAGATAAGAAATATTTTTTTTTATATTTATTATAGTAATTTAATATTTTTAGAATTATGTACATTCTATAATAGTATCTAGTTCAATTACATTAACTTAGAATATATCATATTTTGAACTTCTACAAACTAAGTACGGTGTGTGAGTGGCAAGGAGAACCGATGATAATAGGTTGTGGGGATTATCTGAAAGGAAAAAAATTAAAAATAAAATTAGTGGAGTTATGAATAATACAATATTATTTTAATAATTTTTTAAAGGATGATAAATAGTATTAGATTTGTGAACGGTAAGAAATGACTCTAATAAGCTCGAGTAATAATCTAGGCTAATTATAGATTACCCGATGTAGTTAGTTATGTTTAGTATCTCAATCCCTATATTTTAAAAAATTATATTGGAATCATTATACTTATAAAGTGAAACGTTTAATCTCATTTCTTCCCACTGTGTCTAGAAAATGACGTTAAAAAATAGATAATAAGGTAATTCCATATTCGCTATTCTCACCATCCAAAGAAATTAATTTCACATAAGCGTAACTTTTGTGAAAGTCATCATGGTGTCTTATGCATTGTGATGCCTAACGACCCCTTGGTCAAAGTCATCACTAGCATCGACCTTAATGATGTCGATATTGTCGGGTACCTCCCCGCAGAGCTCGACCTCTTGATTGACGTCACCTCCTCCTCATCAATTTTAATCGCTTCTACGATATCATCCCCCAAAATATCTCGTCTCAAACTCCTCCACGAGCTCGATGCTAACAACAATCGCTTCGTCGGCCCATTCCCAAACATTGCCCTTCACCTTCTATCGATTAAGTACCTCAACCTTTGGTTCAATGACTTCGAGGGAGTGTAGTCGTTGATACTCTTCGATAAGGAACTCGACGCCATATTCTTGAATGATGACCGTTTTAGCTCTCAGATGTCTGACAACTTCGGCAATTCCAAAACTTTTGTCGTCATCATCGCTAACAACAAGATCCATGGTTGCCTTTCAAGCAGCATCAGTAAGATGGCTGCCACCCTCAATGAGCTCATTCTGATGAACAAGTTTTTGAGATTTAATCAGAGCTTTCTTCTCCCAATAGGTTGTTCAAAAGGATAGCGAAGCCTGAGAACAAAGTCGGAGAAGGATATAAAAGCTTTCACTATAAAATGAATATTTATAAAATTAATATCTTTGGACGAAAAATAGTGATTATAAAATTATTTTTTTATCTCTTAATTAGTGTTTTTTTTTTCTGACAGCACATGCGATATTTTCTGCCCCTAGAGTTAATAATATGAGGAGAAACAAAATTAAATATGTTAGTAAGTATATAATTTTTAATATAATTTTTTTTTTTGAAGTATAGGGATCGGATGCTAAATATTAGTATCTTTAATATCTAATTATCCTCAGTAATCTCGTAGTACAATCGCCGTAATTGCTTGATCTCTACCCCTCGACATTCAGTTAGTTACGATATTACCAACCCAAAACGGGCTTTTGAAGGGCTTCAACCCCTCCTTCTTCCTTCTTTCCGCCACGGGGTCGTCCTGCACCTTTAGCCGCTTCGGTTAGCTTCTGTTGCTCTCCTTGTTCGCCTTGGTGGCGTCCTTCAGCATCGTAAAACTGCCCGCCCCCTGAGAGCGATCCGTCGAGGTATGCAGTCGGATCCGACGGTTATCAGCATGACGTTGGCCTCGATAATCGAGGCAGCAGACTCGTCGCCTCCTGCACCGATTCCGCTGCCTTAGGAGTTGCCTTCCTCGTGTCCTCCGATTTCGCCGTCCTCCGGCACCATGGCGGTGTCGGCGTGGCCCTGTCGGTCAACATTGGTGAGGAGCCCTTTGTCGGTCGAGGGTTTTGCTTGTTTGGTTAAAGTTTATATTTTTGCATGGTTTTGATTTTGTATCGTAGCTAGGGTTTTCTACTTCCTTGCGGTGGATTTAGTGATTGAACAATGGGATTTATCTATAGTTTATATGATTTGATTTATCCGCCTCGAGTGAATTTACTGAACTTTCAGATACTACAGATTTTTTTCCAGCATTTAGTCCACTTGAAGGGTTCAATTTGCCAGGAACATTAGCATCGAAAATGCGCATCTGGTGTTATATATATAGCGGTTTAGCTTTTAGAAGAAGAGTTAACTTGTATCAGCTTTTCTCTAGTTGGTAAATCTAAATTTTAACTTGAGGTAAATTGAAGAGAATACAAATATATCCCTTAGATAATTGTGGTTTTATTTCATCCAATTTTGGATGCTTGTATATTTGTTATTGATACACATAATGCCTTGTCTATAATTTGCATAAAATAATTCATCAAATATTTTTTTTTCTGTTTTGGAAGAATACTGAAATTAATTTATCTAAACAATCCTTTCATCAACAATTTTAATTCATCCTATGAACACTTCTCCTGCATCAAACAAGGTGAAACCTTTGTGACAGATATGGTTGTTTTAACGGATTTCCCTATTGTGCTTAAAATAGTTAATATCACAACTTCTAGTACCAGTGCTTCGTAGCTACTTATTAAACAAAGCTAAGCTATGTATAATTCTATTTTAATCGAATAAATACACTCATGTTCTTAGTATATGTTTGCATCGACTTATTCCCTCCCTGTCATTGAGACTCTTGAAGATGTTCACCGAAGACCAATCTTGGGGTCATAGTGATGTTAATGTACATTATACTAGTTTAGGTGTGACGGTGCATACATTCTGGAATATGTATACATTTAGAGAGTACAACAGAGCTCTTAAATCTGGATTTTAGACATTTTGTTCTTCATCTCTTCTCTTTTTACCTTTTAGGAGGACATGCATGTCATCTAGATATTTCTTGCTTGTAACCTCTAGAGAATTTAGAATGTTGGTAACTACTGGTGCAGTTTTATGTGATTATCTTCGTTAGCTTCTTAAATATTTGCATGTTGTATCTAATAATCATTGATGTTCTCCAGTTACCAAGTGAGTCATATACTCATTATTATGAATCAGAAATCATGACTGATCAGGACAATAGCCTTCAATTAGAGATGAGAGTCATGCCAACAAAGAATCAAATATTTTTGAGTTCAAGATCTCATGAAATGAACTCATTAAATAAGCAGGATGAAGTGAGCAGCCAGTTGTCAAGATTTTGAAGTATTTTTTGGTTAAGAAAACTTTTGCCCCTAGAGATGTGGGAATAGGTTGTGTGCTTTATTCTGTGATTTTTTAGGACATTGGTATTGATCTGCTGAAAGCACCTTTCTATTTTAGCGAAGTGGCTGGTAATGGTTCTTGCTGGTGGCATAGATTTCAAGGTGATTGAGGAATTGCTGATTCCAGGTTGCAATCCTGCTATTCGATGCTGAGATGAAAGCTGCTAAGGCAATCTATTTCCAGGTGAGGTCACTTAGTCCCTTGTTTTTTGGCCATCTTATTCAACTTTCCTTATGCTCATCTTTCCATGCTCTGCCTAAGTTAATACAATGATTTCTATGGAGCATCTGTGAGGAGCAATGAAGCTTATGAGGTGTATATCTCTATGAATTGACATGAATTTTCATTATTGATTCTAGATGAAAGAATTAGACTCAATGAATGTAACACCCCATCAGTTTCACATTGGAAGTGGGCTAAGATTAAAATTGACTTATAAATGTCTGATGGGTGTATTATTATTAACTTCAGCTTAAATATTTTAGGGCAGTAGTTCAGACTCAACGAAGTTAATAGACCAGTTATCTCATTAAGCCGGGTTATGAGAATGACATGTTCTTTTTCTTAGATCAGTTGTAGGGTTTTTTCTTGTGTTCTATTCGACTTTTTGGCCTTAATTAATCATGGAATTGGATTTCCTAAAGAAGGATATGATTGAAATCATAACTCCCTGATTTCTTCTCAGATTTGACAGCTTTCAATCTAGATGTTATCAGTGTCAACCTTTCTCAGTCTTATCAGTGTTATCTTGTGTCAATTCTCTTTTAGATTCATTTTCCTCATAAAGTTGAATCCTTCCACTTCTCTGTTATTATTTCTTGAACACACTCAGCTGGATCGATCAACTGGTGATTTCGTTGGGATGCACTGCCCATGAAGAAACCTTTACTTCCTGTAAGCAAAACCTAAAGCCAGGAAAGCAGAAAACATGTTCATCTGCTAAAATAATCCACTTTTAACTTAATGACCAGGCAGTGTCTTCTTGCTATTATTATGATTAGTCTCACACCAACATGAAAAAGAATTACACTATGTTGTTTCAGATTTTTCTATGTGAAAGCCATAGATATATGCATACATATATAGACTTGTTGTATCTTGAGCAAGGAATACTGTAATATGTATGATGAGTTCCATGTGTCAAACTGGTTGCAGGCCATGCTTCAATGCGGCGTTCCACACCACATCGATGCGGTCAACGTCAATGGCTCCGACCTCATGATGCGTCCAACCTTCCAGGCAATGGACGATGCCTCCGGCATGGCAGGCGTGCACGATGCCCCGCTCCATAGTGTACTGTGAAGAGAAGAAAACAACGGTGAGCACCACTTCCTGCTTCATTCTACAACTTGAGCTTGCAGTAGCAGATCATACCTCGCAGGATCCAAGTCCCTGGACATCCTTGGGAAGCCTCATGGCGGCCAGATTCCCATAGGTGCAGTCCCGCCTGAAGCCGATGACCGGAGGCACCACGAACTGGTGGAAGTGTGTGCCGGGCGGTGCCCACCGCTGCTCCCTCAGCAACAGCCACTTCCCAACGATCCATGTCTGCAGCAACACCTGCTCTCATCCTCTGCTTTCCGGGAATCATCATCAACAACAAAAACTCACAGGTACAAGATCCTACCTTGCAATTTTGTGCCGCTTGATACTTGGTGACTTGAACCAGATGGTGCTGGTAGTCTGCTGGGACCTCCTTCTGGATCTTGACAAACCTCTCAGTCGATAGAGTCAGCATCTGTTGATGTGATCCGATTCAGAAATAGTCCCAAATGATATCTTCTCCTAGATCAAGCATGAGGGAGTGGTGAACTTACCAGGACTCGGATGTTCTTCCTGCAGAGATAGAGCGCAATGGCTCTTCCCAGCTTCGATGTAGCCCCTGTCAAGAACACCTCTTTCACATCCATGGGGATCTCGTTGAGGATGATGGCTGCCGTCAGGGTGTTGCCATGGACAACTCGAACTCTCAGATCAGGATGCTTGCTAATGAACAACGTGCCACCACCATTAAGTGATTCGTTCTGCAGGCAAGAATGCATCAGTGTGGTTGATGATGGACATGAAACCATGGCAGCAACCAACCTTGTTCAATGCTGCAAGACTGAGGACCTTCACGCCCAGCTTGTCAGCTCTCAGTATTGCGAGCTCGATCTGATCATTGATGCCCTCTCTGGCGAATGGCAAGAAGTACTGCGACAAGCCACGAAGTGCAACCAATTACAGAGGTTTTCTGTGGCAATCTGAAGGAGACGAGGAAGAACCGAGCAGTACCTGAAACCCGTATCTGGGGACTATCCATGTCTGGTGCAGACGACCTCTTAGGGTGTAGAATGAGAGCAAGAAGGTCTTGGAGAACGCCCACTGGAAGAGCATAAACAGGAACGCGATCGGCCAAAACACCGGCAAAAAGATGTAGTTGATGAAGGGCATCGAGGAGAGGGATCGGAACACGAAGGGTACGTGCATGGAAGAGAAGACATCGATTACGTGCGCGAGGAAGACAAAGTCAGGTGCTCGGTCCTTCTTCCCTGCATCAAGACATGAAGCAAACACATCATGATGAACAAGCATACAGCATCAACATCTCATATCAGACAGTTCTGTCAAGACCATGCCTATGTGCAGATCTTATTGTGAAGATTGTGTACAAACACACCTGAGCTGATCTCCTTCTGCAAGTCCCATGACTTGTTGTTTGCTGTCTTCCCCAGGAAATCAAACAGAGGCATGAAAAGGCAGAAGTTGCAGTTCTTCTCCTTGTGGTGGAGACTCAGATACCTGCACACAAACTCAAAAGTGTGCGTCAGTTGCTGTTATCCTACAACAATTCTCAGCTCTGAACCTGATCTAGCATGCACTAGCATAGCTGTGTTCATCTCAAATATTAGCAGAACCACATTTGCTACTGCGGCAAACTTCCCCAGCAAACATTCCATCTAAAAGTTTTAAGCTAGCAAATAATATACATAATCAAACCTAAAATATTTATCTGAGGATGGTGTATCTGACTTAATCATCCTTAAGTTTGAGGGTCCGAGACTTCAAATGTGTAAGTTCTGGTAAGTATATTACTGCTTCATCTTTAGTGATTTGAAATCTCATCCTAGAAGTTCTACACCTCACTTCCGGGTGTGAGATTGTAACCTCATCTATACTAACATCTAAATCGGATGACATAATATATATAATTTTCCTACGACAGTAGCCAGCTTTGTTAGATAATTGCTTTCACTATCGATTCAAAACAACCCCATTAATTCGAAACTAATACATATTTAATGCATAATTGTCACTACAACTAACAGGATGTCTGCCTCGTTGACTCTATGGAGCATGTCACTGTTTCATGTGTCCCTAATGTCGAGAAGAGGGAGCATAACCTTCAAGCTAAACACACTAGTTTTGTTTTGACGTCTGTTCCTCGGGCCACAACTATGTGGTGGGTGGGTGCTCTGTCAAGTGACCTAGCAATCACCAAACTATTGTGAGAGATGCGATGCAACGTGACGCAAACAATGGGTTCGACGAGGGGGGACGACATGACTTACGTAGGGGAGTAGAGAAGGTATCTGAGGGCGGGTAGGGCCTCGAAGAGCCTGGAAGGCAACACCTCCACGTTGCTGTATCCCATGCACCGCAGGAAGTCGAAGACGAGGACGTAGCCATACGCCAAGCTCGCGGAGCCATGCCCCGTGGCGAACGGCCCAAGCAGCGGCGCCGCCATCGCCGCACTCAGGACGAGGTTCTCCAATAGCGTGCCAAACCCGGCTGGTCCAGCGATCGACAGTCGGTTCATCAGATGCACGTGGGAGGAAAGAAGCGGATGTTTCGTGTACGTACCTGTAATGGGCTGAGGCACCGGCGAGGAGTGGTGGATGGAGTGGTAGTGGGTGAAGAGGTAGCCTCTGTGGAAGCACCTGTGCGCCATATAGAACAAAGGCTCGGAGACCCCCACATGGAGGACCAGAGCGATGACGCACCCCTTGAGCTGCAGAAGAGGGAGGTCTTCGAAGGATGGAGCACGACACAAGACGACGGATCCGAGGAGAGCTTGGAGGATGAGGAAGTTATCCCTGGAGAAGGAAAACTAAGACGGGATCAAGAACCAAAGGATCCATCTTGTTCCCACGAAGCATGAAGATGGAGGGCGGAGACGTACCAGTCCCACTCACTGTCGATCTGCTTGAACTCGACGCCGTCTTTGATCACCCGACGCGTCCGGGTGAGGAAGAGCATGTTGGCGAAGGAGTACCATAGCTGGTACGTGAGGCTTCTGAGGACGAAGAGTAGCAGAAGATGCAGCCACCACCCGCCTGCTCTCCCATCCCTCCATTCGCGGGCAGCGATGGCGACAAGAGGTCCACATAACACATACTGCAATAACGTACACCAAGTCTCAGACATCAGTATTCATTGGAGAGAAGGATCGCACATGGAAGGATTCCATGCCTTGTAGATTCCCAAGCTCGCCCAGGGCCAGGAAGACAAAGGAGCAGCCATTTCCTCTGCAGCAAAGAAGAGAGAGAGAGAGAGAGAGAGATGGATGGATGGCCCTGGAGAGATATCGAAATTTTCGTCCTTCTCTCTCTCACATGCGACGTGTGATGATGAGGCAGTTGCACTCACTCTCTCTTTATATAGGATGAGATAAGATCAGAGAAGATGAAGTGGGAGACATCATCTCCCTTACATTCCATTACTTGGCCTCTTAAATGTTGCCCTGCTGTGAAGTCTAACCTCGAAGCCATGGCCACAACCAGTGGCGATTGCGTCGTCCAATCTATGCCTAACTGCGTGCGATCTCTCAACATGTCACGAGGGGATGCAGCCGGCGTGGTCTGGACGCAGAGCAGGACTCTCCCATGCGTCCTACTGCAGCCATCCTTAATGGCTCCAACTAGTCCTACAAACCCATCGGTCGCTGCCATTAATGCACGAAGCATGGGTTCAGGTAGCAGATGCACGTGTCCTCTGCGAGGCTTGAGGTTGAAGTAAACCGAGTGGGCTTCGACAGCTACAGATCAAATGGAGATATATCGGACGCCATTGTTACCATCGTCTCCCCGGCATGGTAGCCGCGGACCGAGGAAAATAATAGTAGTTTTATTGACGAAGTGAAAAAGTTTTAGTTTGAATACATTAACATATCCTTCTCCTATTTATATAAATTAGGAGGAAGAATTTTTCTCAAATTTTTTTCAACAAAATAGAGAGATTTTCTCGCACCCCGTCACCTTCGCTCCTTGTTCGCTGCAAGGAATGAGGGGTTCTAGAGAAGTGTGGGGGCACGAACATCTCTAATTTCATTTCGTCGGTGACGATAGCATTACGACAAGTAATGGTGGAGCACCTACGATTGGGTCTCGAGAAAGGTAAGCAAAAGATGAGGGAGGCATCGAAGAGTAGAGGTCGGGGACGACGACGACTTCAAGACTGGCTTGTACAAGCCCAAGTTGTGACTTCGCCAACTTCACCATGATTGGCTCGCACAACCGGAGGCTGCCATCATCAATCACCCTCCCAAAGAGGTCACCCACGCAATTTCATCTTTTAAGAAATAATGAATATGTTATGTAATAAATGAAAAAAGGGTACTAATCGAAAACAAGTTTTTTTTCTTTTTTTGTTGAGGAATTTCCCCAAAAGTATTTGGGTTCAAACTTTTTCTGATCATTAAAAAAAAAAAATGAAGATCTCAATTATATATATACATATATATACGTGTATATATATATATATATATATATATATATATATATATATATATATATATATATATATATATATATATATATAATCTTTTTATTTTAGGATTATATCACTACTATAAAAGAAAGAAAGACGACGTACTTATCTCCACGAATAATAAGAACACACGGTCAACTCTCCACACATGTCTATAACACCTTACACTACATATGATACTTATGACTTCACATCAACCTAATTAAATCTTAGATCACTTATGTCATCAAATGAGATTATAAACCTTTGACGAGTGGAACTAATATATTATTATCAAACTAATGTTTAGGTAGGATGAATCGGATCCTCATGTTAGCCTATACGAAATTCAAAAGTCTGTCTTCTGCTGGTAGGGACAGACAAGGGAAAGACACTATCTAAATTGATATTATGATACATAATTATGATAAGACAAGTCATAATTAGACGTACAAGAAAAGCGAAAGCGAAAGAAAAACATGGCATAGGTATATAGGTATGGCCATCCCCTAATATATTATCATCGAACTAATGTTATGTTAGCCTATACTAAATTCAAAACTCTTGTATCGGTAGGGACAAAGCGGAAGACACTATCTAAATTGATATTATGATACATAATAATTACGATAAGACAAGTCATAATTAGATGTACAAAGAAAAAGAAAGCAAACCAAACCATGGCATAGGTACATAGGTATGGCCATCCTCTAATTTAAGTGGGATCATACGTGTCTTAGTTATGGCCAATGATGCGATACGTACAACTAACTAATTAATGTGCCAAATACGTGTCACGTATCTTTCAACCGGCAATATTAACCCATAATCTGGATAATTGCATGTTCCTTCGGTTGACCGTCGGTCGGTGGTGTTTATGAATGACATGTGGTACATTTATGAATGAGATGAATTCTACTCATGAAATCAACTACTTATCCCAACTCTTTTGAACTCTCTATCGAATATTAAGTGCATTATATTTATTATCTATGGAAGTGAGAGAAGGAACTTAGCTGCTTTCGATTGGGAAAGATAAAGATGAAACTTATTATTATTAAGAGAAAAATATATTTGTCAATAATGTTAATGAGATTGAATCTTAGGCTAAATTGAAGGATCAGCTCAATGGTATAACTGACCGGAGGATTAGCATAATAAAACCAAGTTCACGTTAATGGGGGTATGTATCCTCGTATAAACCTATGTAGCTCCTACTTGACTGATGTGTGTGTCCGCTAAGAATGAATGGTAAAGCGGTGTGCTATGGAACAAGAAAGTCACGCCCGACATGTTTTCTCCGATAGAACTATCCTCTCGTATTTTTACGATGAGAAGATATATATAACTTTTTCTTAAATAAGAGAACATAGGGAAAGAGAAGTTAGGTTGACTTGAAATAAGCGAGAAAAAGAGAGAGAGAGAGAGAAATGAATAATTGGCCTGTTAATCAAAATTACCAACTTGTAATCGATAATAATATACTCATCAATTTTTTTATGAATTAATATTTGTTTTAGCTCGCTTTCGATGTAGAACTAAACTAATTTAGATATTAGAATTTCACGTCCTCATCAACATTTAGCATAATTTAGATCAAATCTTAGTATAGTCCATAAAAAAATTAGTCTAATAATAACTCCACATCTTTAAGCTCTTCATGCTCGATACTAAGTCGACTCTAATGCTAAAAAAAAAAAAATATCATATCCTAAATTCTTTTTTTTACACAAGATTATAATATCTTTTCACATGTTACATTAAAAGCAAAATATTAATATCATTTTATTGAGAGACATAAATTATAAAATTTTATTATAATTAATTTATCCATCAAAATAAAAGTCAAACAAGTAGTTATACGTTTTATTATCTAATAGTGTTTCTAGTATACTACTATTAGAAGGCTATGATCAAAATTAAAAAAAAAATAATATAAAATAATTTTGCATAGGGTAGAAATCCCCATTATTCAACTTTGAAATATATATAAATAAATACATATCTATAAATAAAATTAATAAGTCATCCCACTAGCTGCTTGATGATATGCTCTCTCAATGATATATAGAGATAACCTTATATCTCATTCTCAATATTGAATGAAGTGATATCCCTCGCTCACTAGAATAAGGATACATTTCTTCTAATAACAAATAGAGAAAACGTTTACTTGTCATGTCTAATAGCTCACTTATGTTGAAAGAAAATTACCCTACCAATCATTGATATGAAAATATAATCATCTTATAATAAATCATGTTATCTCGGGATAACATCACCAATGTCAAAAAATATTAATTAGTTTTTAATTGACTTGAACCCTAACATAATCAATCCAATTAACTTGAATCAAACTCGATTTAGTTAAAACCTAATTGAACCAACCTCTACTCCTTACTTAATCGTTTTTGAATCATCCTAGACTAATATAATTTGGACTTGATTGAATTAAATTTAGATTAAATAAGTTTGAACTACTCATACGGTTCAAAATCATCCTAAATCGATCTAAACTAATTAACCGACCATATTCAATCAAGCAAAGGAAGGAGAGCTAGGCTATGTTACATAACACTAGACCAACCTATATGAGCCTTAGACTCCAATGTTAGGGTCCAAGTTGGATTATATGTGTCACCAATGGATCCAAGTTGAACAAACGTGAGATGGGTGCCGGAGGTGGTAGAATTCTATCACTCCCTTATGTGCAGAGGCGCATCCGGCCACCACATCCGTCTCCAACACGCATGACATGATCGACAAGTTCGAGACCGCTCTACGCACCTCCTCACCGTATGTGTGATTCCCCTTTCCCCTCGTGTGCCGCCGGTCTTGCGCGCCACTGACATCACTAGTGGCCTACTGCTTATGAAATTATTTTTTTACCCTTATCATTCACGATAAATTGATGACACGATAAGAATTGAGGTTTATCCTAGGTAACTGACTCAAGCAGCGTTGATGCTAAAAACAAGTAGGTTATGCAATCCAGAAAAGAGCAATATGTCATCACCAAAGAGGTAATGCAATCATCAAGCAATTTTACACTACAAGCAGGTAGTAGATTGAAGAGATAAAAAGTTCACTATATAAGAAGAAAACAAGTCAACTATCTTTAAGTTTTGTCTAATGTTTGAAATCTGTGACTACGTACATGAGCTCCGCCCAAGCGTCAAATATATCAGAACCAGTTTTTGTTCCGAAGTTACAAAAATGAGTTTGCAATGCAGATATTTTTCTTTCTTTCTTTCTTTCTTCTTTTCTTCTCCAGCCCAACAAATCAAAGTCATAATGTTAGTGTAACATTATTCTTCTCCGAGAAAGCCCAGAGGGGTTTCGCAGGTGTGCGCACAAGAGCCTTCACTCCTAGTGGATTGTCTTTGCTCTGCATATTTGACATGACAATAAGGAATCATAACTATGAAAACAAGGTCGAGAAGATGCTGAACATGAAGAGACAATCAAGACATAGATTTTAACAAAAGAAAGTGGAGGGTATGGAACCAAAAGCAAAACCCAACATTTGGTTCAATCCAAAGGTTAATTTTCTCTTTCTAACTTAACTTAGCCTAGTTAGCACATAGAAAGACAACATATATAGTTAGGTTTTTGTGATTTCTCAAACAAAAGGTAAAAGAACATACTGTTGGCACATAAATAAAAACTCTCATTTTATTGGCACATAAAGAAAGGACATAATTTAGTTGGGTTTAATTTCCCAAACAAAAGATGAAAGGATCAGTCTGAATATGTTAATCCTAAGTATATCATTAACAAGAAATATGATGCTCTCCCTTCCCTCTCAATTTATATTATACATCTTATCAAAAGAACTAGAAAAAACTCTCAATTTATTGGCACATAAAAAAAGATCATATTTAGTTATATTTTAATTTCTCAAACAAAAGAAAGATTAAGTCTGAAAATGTTAGCTGTTAGCCCTAATTCAATACTTCACAGGAAATACAATGCTCTTCCTTTCCAGGGAGAAGCTATACCTCCCAAACTCCATTTATATCATATTTCTATTAAAAATATTAAACAACTCTCAATAAGTTACATTGACTGATCCCAAATTTTAAATCCCAATTAATAGGTTTTGCTTCGCTCAGTTTGGTTCTGGCTTTAGATAAAATAATTAACTAAATAAAAGCTTTGTTCCTCTATGGTCCTTAAAGCAACAAGCAAAACCAAATGAAATATATTCCACAGATAAATCACCAGTTGCAGAAAGTCTAAGAAGACACTCAAAAGAAGGCCAAGGTTATATCAGTATAATTATAGCTAATCACGACAAGCTTTTCAAAGAGTAGGAAATTACTATTTGACAGGTTCCAGCTCCAACATTGCAAGCAGGGTAGTCATGAGGGCAGCAGCTGAAGTGATCATCGCAGCAGATCGCCGCCTCCAGAGGGCAGCACCCCCACGCAAAGCAGTAGCTGCCATACTCATAGAGACAACAGCAGGTGGTGGCTGGTGGGCAGGAGTAGTACTCGTCACAGACAGTTGGTGGGCTCACCGGAGAGGGAGGGGATGGACCAGGGTGGGGTGGGTTCTTGCCCTTCTTTATCGGGTAAGATGGTTCCATAGCGATACCGCATTTGCCAGTGGATGCCTTAATGTTACGCTCCATCCTGATGTAGCCAGCCTCTCCCCAGTCTCCTCCCCATGAGTTCCTCACAATCCAGTAGTCCTTGCCATTATCGCTGCCATAGCCTACAACTACAACACCATGGTCCAGCCTAGTCCCGCATCTTCCAGTAAATATACCCTACAAAAGGAGGGTCAGTTAAAATGGCATGACCTGATAAACACAATCTCTAATGCTAGAATTGTTTATGTCAAGAAACATTTAAATATCAATTCGACACCAATAAAGATAATCAATCAAACCAGTATGATACTAATATAATGGATGATAATATTTGAGCCATATTGTTTGATATCATAAAAAAAAATAAAAAAATAATGACAACATATAAATAACACGCGACATCTTATCTGGTCTGGTACTGATTGGGATAATAGCAATTTCGTTATTTGGATGTTAGCTTCAATGTACCCATTGCAATATGCAAATGGCTAACAGGATCTGCAACGCTAGCCAAATGCCACAAGTCAATGATGCAAAGCTCAAGGAATCCTAGAACAAAAGGAAAAATAAATAATCACAAGGGCTCTCTTGTGCAATGATGCTAATTCATTGGATTCTCATTCATGATAAGCTTGTTAGTTACAGGAACCATGAACATGTGAATCCATTGATTAAATGCAAATATCTTATAATGATTGTTCTACAAAAATGGTGTAAATCATCATGTAAGTTAAATCCAAGTTCCAACCAATCAGACCTCAGATGGTTGATCAGATAAAGGATGAAAGCAATAACATGACTCAAAACTTTTAACACCTTAAAGTCATATTACAATAAATTCTCCAATCTAACATAACAACAAATGAAATTGCAAGAGCCAATAGTACACTCATTCCTCAATAAATGAATTCTACAGTGCCAAGTCAATTAAATAGTACAAGAATCACCAATATCCAACATATTTCATCTTGAATACCAGTAAATGGCTATTTATGCTAGAATTAGAGTAGAATCTGATAAGCTTTACTATTCACAGGTATACCATAAACATGACAAGTAAGATTGATTTGATGAAGAAAAGGTAGCAATGCTTGCCAACATAAATGCAAGATTCAAGATTTAGTTACTTCACAAGAAAATGATTGTTTGAACTTTGAACAACAAAACACATACCGATTGGTAGAGTTGGAACGCCCTGCCACCCGCTTCAATAGCAACACTAACAGGCTGGTTCACAACAGCCTTCTGCAGGGCCTTCTCATCGTTCTGCGGGACATCTTCATACCCATCGATGGAGACGACCTTGGCATTCTTCTGCAGTCACAAATTAGCAAGACAAATACAATCAGGAGATCACTTCCTCATGAAGAAAGACGTAGGGAGTGCAATCAACGAAGGGTATGTACCTTGTTTTGGTCACACATGCCGTTACGGGCCTTGTAGGGGTAGTCGTCTTCAGTGTCGATGCCGCCATTGTTGATGATGAACTCAAAGGCATAGTCCATGAGGCCACCGTTGCAGCCCATATTGTAGGAGTTGTCACAATCCACCAGCTCCTGCTCTGACAGTGTTATCAGCTCCCCTGTCACGATCTGATTGATCCCTTCCACTGCACCAACTGTCGAGAACGCCCAGCAACTCCCTTCACCAGCCATCAATAATCATCATGAACATCACTCGCTTGAGCTTCCCAATTACAGTAAGAAAATCGATCATGGCAGCAACTAATAATAAATCATTAAAATCATGATTTAAAATCTTGGATATCAAATCCGATAAGAATCAATATATATCAACACATGGTACATTGGTACATATCTGAACGGATGAAAAGAGACACTCCATCATGTGTCCCAATAAACACCATAAGCTTCGTATTGGTACAAACAAAATTAGGAACATTAGTTAAAGTCATAGCATGAATTCTTTTCCAAATCTTTATGTAACAACATGTAACATCTGAATTTCTTTTTATTGTTTCAAATAAATTTCCTTTACCTCAATGTACCTTCGCATCAATACCCACATGTCTCCTTTACACACATAAGAAGTCATTAGAATGCATCATTTCCTCAAACTTTTAGATTAAAACAGCAAAACTAATCATGACAGCAGCTAGTAATAGGTTGTTAAAAATATAATGTACCAACATATGACACGTATTTCATTTAAATCAAAGCCTGACAACTTCAAGAAACGAGCCATGGCAATATTTTATCGGATAAAACAGTATCACATAAACATGGTGCGAACAGTTATTCTGGTGCGAGTGAACAGACAAGCATGAGTCAATGTGCAATATAACAAGGGTACGGTTGTAATTTAATAGTGCGACGCTTTGCTTAGGGCGAAAGCAACGGCGGGAGGCGGGAGGCGGGAGGCGGGAGAAAGAGAACAAGACGGGGAAGAAAGAAGCGGGGGCTCTAACCGCAGTAGCCTTGGTCCTTGACGGCGGCGACGGCGCCCTTCGCTCTCCAGTCAACGGATTCTGGCAGCTCCTCACCGTCGCCGAGACGGTACCGGTCGCTGGGCACGCGGTTTCTGCGGGCGGCGCCGCGGGGTCTGGTACCGATGAAACCGGCCCGGTACTCCTCGTTGGTGAGGTCGGCGAAGCGGTTGAGGCCGAGGCGGTACCGGTGCAGGCCGGCGTCGGCTTCGGCGTTGTGGGCGTCGATGAAGCGGAGGTTGTCCTTGAAGATCTCGAACCGCCTCTCCATCTCGCCAAGCGCGTTGTACGTCCGGCCGTGCTTGATCAGCCAGCCCTCGTACATCCGCCGCATCTCCTCCTTGCTGCGCTCTAGACCCTTGACGCCGTGCTCCTCGTCGTAGGAGATGATGGACATGTCCGACGCAGCGGACGCGAGCCCGAAGAGGACGAGCAGGAGGGCGGCGAGGCAGGCTGTCGAAACCATCGTGTCGTGGGTGGGTCGAAAAGGTGGGGATTTTGATGGCCGGGAAGCCTTTTATAGAGGAGGGGAGAGACGGTGATGAATTGGGTTTCAAGTAGGTGGGGTAAAGGGTAATATTGTTTTGAATCGTCACGTTATTTATTGTTGCCTAATAATAATAATAATAATAATAATAATAAATAATTATTATTATTGTGGAGTAAGATAGTTTATTGGGGAAGAAAGGACTGATACGGAGCATAGTAAAAGGAAGAGGAAAACTATTATTGATTAAGAGAGGAGGACAAAAGAGGAAATGAAATGAATGCTTTAGTATCGCCTTTGATGCTTGTCTTTGACCTCGTAACTCGATGGTAAAAAAATCCAAATAAATCATCATATATGAAGAGTAATTCAAAAAATCAAGCATCATTGATGTATTCAAATTCGTATTAGATTAATATTGATTTGGCAATTATCCTTTTCCCGTATCATCTACCTTTCATTGTGACATAAAAAATTATGATACAATTCAACGATATCGAATGAATATCTCATGATTGTGTTATAGAGATAAAATATTTTTCAGCTAGACTTGACTGCATCACAGATTTGAGACGAGTTATAATCACATTTAGCTGCATCACGGAGTCGAAATGCTTTATAGCATTTCGATCATGTTATTAGAGTTGAGATATTTCATGATCATATTATGTCATATTGTAAAGTCGAGATGTTAGATTTGTGGGCGTCAAAAAAATAAAATGTTTCGTAACTTAATTTGATTATGTCAAAGAAATAAGGGAAGTTTTATGGTCTGATTCGATCGTATTAAAGAAATGAGATGCTTTGTTATCCAATTTGATCGTGTCGAGAAAATAGAATGCTTCATAGCCGTACTTGGATATGTCAAACAAATGAAACACTTTGTGCTCCAATTCGATCATGTCACGACTTTTATGATTTTCTTACCATCGACTATTATAAGTGCTTTTGGTAGATGGGATATGCTTTTATTATAGTAGTGATAGGTCTTATCTGATTTGATTTCTAACAGGTCAATATCATTTTTCTAATGTTAAATCTTCCACACTACGCTACGTAATGCAATCACTGGGTAGTCGTGTAGCAAAGGATGAGTGGTGATTCGATCAATATTATCGATGATTCTTCCTCGCCATTCATTCAATATTTATATCGAGATTACTAGGGTATGATAGCTTCTTTTTTCTCCAAGGTTGATAGGAATGATTTTATCTCCGGCTCATATCTTTGTCATCAGCCTCAAAATGACGTCACAGTACATCCCAATATGTATTGCATCAATAATGGACAATAATCACCCTCTTTTATCAAGATCATATACTAGAATGATCACCCTCTTTTATCCTAGACCAACTAGTAAGAAGGCTGAAGGGGACTCTCTACATACTAACTTAGTCATATAGCTTTTAATGTTATCTTCTCTCATTCGTTAACTTAAGAATCAGAGGGGTCACACTGAGCAACCTTTGACGCCAACCTATCATGCAGGATTGTCAATTGTCCAAGACACCTAGACGACCTAGCCCCTAGGAAGGAACCTTGTAACCAGAAAGATCATAGTTCACGTACCCGATCATCCCAAACTGGGTCCTCACCAATAGAACGGCTTCCGACCGAGCAACCTATGCGGTCTCACCTTATCGAGTCTCTTATGTTAGCCAAGAAGAGACACTTGGATGAGCTTGTACCTTTGGCAGTGAACCAATCGGATTGACTTATCAATCGACGGTACTCATAACACCATCATTCTAGCACTAGAATGAGGGCAGAATGTCGTAGGCGCACCCTTCCATTGCTCTTCTTAGTGAACATTTTAGATAAGGAGAACCCCTCCTCCCTTTCCCGAAGGGTGGAGGTGAGCCCCATGCTTACCTCGTCAGAAGCGCCCCTCAAGCTTCGATGCTAGGGGGGCATGCATATGTGACTCTCCACCCTTGGTAACACCGCCCTGTGATGCTTTCAAACTAGCGCTCAACCCCCCCTCGCCTATGGGAGTAATAGAACTATACCCTTGACAACTTCTCAGGGGATGCTCCGATGATAATCAAGACTTAGGGGCTCCTACCCCATGAAATAGCAAGATGGAAAGACTCTGAACATTCCCCACTTAAGAATCATTCCAAAGGCCAATAATACATCCTAAAGAGGTTTTCATTAAATTGGACAAAACGAGTTACAAAAACGGATGCCATCCCAAAGGGGATGTCATAAAATAGGAGTTAACAAAAACAAAACAGAAGGGTCACCAGGACCCAACTAAGCCGAAGAAGGCAGAGCTAAAGGAGACACTAGGTGATCGTCGAATGGGACCTCTATGGGAGTAAGCACTTCAACGTCCGAGGGAAGCTCCGTATAAGGGTCTCAAGATACCTCACCTTGAAGTGATTAATGGTGATTTGGTACTCGAACTCATATGCAACTTAGCTAAAGCACCAGAGGCTACATTGGGACCCCTCAGATTCCTTGTAGGAGGCCATTACCCTCCTCTCCTGCTTAGAGGCTTAGTTCTTTTCCTCCTTATTAGAAAACCTAAGGCAACATCACATGTGCAAAAAATCCTAAATTTCCTATAGAAAATAGTTTCTCGTTGTTGTGCGAAGATAGGCGCCCGAAAAATCGTAAAACCAAAAACTATATATATATATATATATATATATATAACCTAGGGAGATTATATATCCCTGAAAATAAAATCTATGCGAGAGGATGAAGAAGGTAAATTGTCCTCCTCTTTAGTGGTGATCCACACAGAAGATGTGGTGAGGATGCTTCTCAAATTGCTACACGAACCACCTTTCCACGTGCACTACACGATCAAGAAGGGATTGACCCTTTTTGTTGTTCACACGCCCTAATCTAGGACTATCGATTGAGAAGAAGAGGAAGAGATGAGTATAGGAGGTCGTAGCCAAAAAAAGGTCTAGCCCATGACCATTTAGTTCCCTCATATTTATAGAAACCCCTTATAAATAGTAGGTCTCTACCCAATAATCTCTTATTGGCTTTTATTGGATCTCATCAATAGGATCTAATAATTCAATGACTTATTGGATATCCAATAAGATAAGAGCTCCAACGGATATCTCATATCTGAACATCTACTCGTTGTAGCACCTACCATATATGTGTGACCCTCTAAGCTCAATATCGAGCTTGTCATAAGTCATACCTATCAGAACTCCTTCTGGTTCAATAAATTATTATCTTCACTCGACTCATTGACTACAGATGTACTAGGCTACTACGTCGTAGTCTCCAAACGATATAGGGGAATTCAATCCATTAGACATGTCTTCCTTAGTTATCATATATCTATAGTCCATCATCCATCTAATATCCAAAAATTATATACCGGGTATGATACTATCAGACTCATACTGAATCTACTCGAGTCTCGTTCTAATTGGATTCTCCCGGAGAACTTTTTCTCTCAATCCAAATGACTATGACCAGGGATTTACTTGAGCAAGAACACATGAGATATTTCTCTCATGTTTCTAAGAGCGGATGATCCTTTATCGACACTCAATTGCTCTCGTAAGATTGGCTATCACTCCCGATGATCGGTTGTGTCAGATTTGAAACTTTCAAACATATAAGTCGGATATCAAAGAGTGTAATACTCATATAGAACATCCTTGATATCTCAAGTTTAAGGATCAGATACACCACTAGGATGATAGAATCGCTATTTGATAATGAGGTATCTTCAATCATTCAGTATTCCAAGAGCGAATTAGTCAGTGAACTATTTTCCAATGAGCACTTGTACTGTATTCCTAATGTCCCCACACAAGCAACTATGAGATCAGTCATTTCTATCATATGGACGAGTATACAGTATACAAGTATGTTCCATTATCTCGATATTCCTCTCAAATAACCTATGACCGAAATTATTTAGGGTCTATGTTTAAAGATAAATCAATCTCATTATCATGATCTCATCACATCCGATTCTTATTGAACATCCGATTCTTATTGAACAAATCTATTGACATTACAATATACCTAACAAATAATATAAAATAAAAAATATTAAATAAATAATAAATAAAAAAGAGTACACATTTAATATAGCTCACATATTAACTTACATGACACTATCAAAGGTAATACGTGAGTCCACAGTTGCTTCTGGCATGTCTTACTGTGTTATTATATCGTCATCTCTTAAGGTCGGCAAGTTGACCCTGCCTAATTAACTCCATTTGTTGCTTTAAATCTAAGCAGTCATGGCGTTAATGAGACTGAAAGTACTCTAATATTTTTCTTGGGACAGCCGAAGTTCCCATTGGTTGAGGTGCTCACAGTAACCTCTTCTCCCGAAGTATTAAGGGACATGGTTGTGTCCGATCACCTCGGTGAAGTTGTTTTTCCGCTTTGACGATTTGCTATTGATGATCCATTCCATTCCATGTAATTGCTCTGCTCTCGGACGAAAAGATCAAAAGATTTGCGCTCGATTGTACCTTAGATTTCACTCCTGTATCAGCTCTGATTCCATGCCATAGTGAATCTAAGGTGCAGTTGGAGCAATAGATTTTGATGGATTAATCGGGTTCTACTAAGCTAGATTTGGCTAATCGCATAAGATTAATCAGGTTCTTCTTCTAAGCGTTTCGAGCAGAACAAACAAAAGTTCGTGTTTTGTTTTTGGCAATAACACTTGAAAGCAAACACATGTTGCCAAAAACGAGCCCCTATAAATAAAAGAAAACGAAGAGACTAAAGAAAGAAGGCAGGCAAGCGATGGCAAACATGGAATGAATGAATAAAACGGCAGGGTGTAATGAAACCTCAACCTCTCCATGGAGGAGAAGAGGGAGAAAACCTGAGTGGAATGGAGAAGAGGAGCACCGTCTCCCCCTCCTCCTACGACTAGCTATAGAAGATAGCCGAGAAGAAAGCTTGGTGTTAGCAGAAGAAGAAGAGGAGCAAATGGAAGCACTGCTGCCGCTTACCGAGGACGATTGGGTGGAGGTGCTTCGTTCTCTCGCGGCCAAGGAAAGGGAGTCCGAGCTCGAGCTCGCCAGTGACGATGGCGGCGGCTGCTACCTCCGGTCGGCGAGGAAGGATGCGGTGGAGTGGGTGTCGCGCGCTGCGGCGCGCCACGCCTTCTCCCCCCTCACGGCGGTCCTCGCCGTGAACTACCTCGACCGCTGCTTCCTCTCCCGCGCCGCGGGCGGCGGGCTCCGGCTCCAAGACGACAAGCCATGGATGGGTCGTCTTGCGGCCGTCGCTTGCCTCTCCCTGGCGGCAAAGGTGGAGGAGACGCGCGTCCCTCTCCTAATCGATCTCCAAGCAGAGGAGGGGAAGTACGTGTTCGAGCCGAGGACCATAAGGCGGATGGAGCTTCTGGTTCTCGCCGCCCTCCGCTGGAGGATGAATCCCGTCACCCCCCTCTCATTCATCCACCACCTACTCCCCCGCCTCCGTTCTAAGTATAAGAACGCCAACACCGATCCCTCCGCCGCCACCGGCATTGCCACGGCTCGGAGGTGTGAAGCGGCTCTCCTGTCAGCAATAGCTGGTGAGTTAACCTCAAAATGCGTCCTTTTCATTCCCTTTCGCACCATTTCCTGAATTCTCTGTTTATTTGGCGAAGATTGGAGATGGGTTCAGTTTCCTTCATCGGTCTGGGCAGCGGCGGCACTACTCCAAGCGTCCGCGGTGGCGGCTCAAGAAAGCCACTGCCTCATCTCCCTCCTCAACGTCCCAATGGTTGGTCCTTTTTGCCACTATGTCTTATTACCGACTGCACTCTGTTTAAGGGTAGACTCAACTGCTCTACAGGCAAAAGTGGAAGAATGCCATCAGCTAATGCTGGAATCAGCGAGCGCCGCCATTACCGGACACAAGCGCAAGCATTCGTCTTCCGTTTTCCACTACTGTTCATCGCCACCGAGCCCCATTGGGGTGGTCGGCTCCTGCTTCGGCAGCGAGAGCTCAAGCGACTCCCAGGCGATGCGGCCGCCATCACCCGCGGCACATCCTCTCCAGAAGCAGATCAATGGCAGTGAGAGAGGAAGGTGTTGATTCTGTTGGAGTACAAGTATCATCTGTGCCTTCCATCTCTGCCATTGCTCTGAGTTCCTGGGAGCAATTTTAGTTGGCTTTTGAGGTGGTAGCTATGGAGAAGAAGAAGAAGAAGAGATGGGTGGCATTGTTCTTTTCCAATTCCCAACTGTAGCAGTGCTCCTCTTTCCTACTGTTCGGATAGCTACTAGTTCTCTTGGCCCAGTTCTCATCAATGCTTTGCTCTCTCTCTCTCTCTCCCTCTCTCCCTGTCTCTCTCTCCACGAAGAAACCCAACGTCAAAGCCCGTCTCAGCACTCCAAAGACTATTGAATCCACACCACCTAATACAACTAAAGCACCTTAGTCCTCCCTCTTAACGACAGTGCTTTTCTCCAACTTTTCCTCTCAATCTAAGAGACCTGGTTTAAGCAGAAAAGCTTCCTTTATTCCATTACAGGTCATTCCTCGAGCAAATAATAAAAAGGCCAAAGGACTCAAGCAAAGAGAGAGAGAGAGAGAGAGAGAGAGAGAGAGAGACTACTGTGCTCCTTTTGTTTTCTTCTCTTTGGGACTTACCGTGAAGAGGAGTGGGATGGGCAAAGCCCACCAACTGAAACCATCTTTTCCTCCGTAATAGAAGAGTCTGCAATGGACACTGGATCAGGTGGTCTGAGCGGAGCTTTGCAGCAGTCAACACACAAATGCCTCCTTGGAACCGGAGCAAATCATCATTAGATTGTCAAGATTAAATGGTGGATTTGGGGCCGCAATCTTTACTTGAACTAAATGATATCGTCATGAGGCATCATAATGAACATGGCCTGACAGTACCATCAACCTCAGAGGCTCAAAAGTAGGGAGATTAAAATGGACCTGATGAAACCAATCGGTTCTATTAGTGCTACTACTGACAAGTAAACAAATTAGAGTTGCAGAGATTTAGGTGGAGATATACCACATGATTGCAACACAGTAACTGCGTACGCAGAGGAAACAAGAAGACATAGTCGTTGCACACACAGTTTGATCAAAGCTGAGAAGAAGACGAGAAAGAAAATGAATCGAAAGAGGGAAATGGTTCCCTAAAAGTCCAAAGCGGTTTGGAACTGTGAACTGGTCTTTGAATCCAGAGCACTGTTCCAGCTTTTCTTTACGTTTCAGAATCATCTTTTTCTCGAGGTGGGGTTCTTTTTTGCCCACAGAGGCAGCATCAAAAGATCAACCTCTACCTCTATGACAATTATTGTCGAATAACATGATGCCCAACTCCATCTTTTGACTCAGTCCTCCATGCTTGAGGAACAAGAACATGACAGTTGTCACCACCAATACAATTAGAAGAAAAGAAACATATGAACATATAGGATCTCATCTTCCATTCCTAAACTCCATATCTAAGTTTTGATGGCTTGACAAGTTCCTAAAAGCAAGTACCAACCAACATCAGCAGAGCCGGATGAAGCCTTAAGAAGGTTAAGCCATCTCTCTCTCTCTCTCTCTCTCTCTCTCATGATGGGTTGGGTAATGAATGTAGAAGAATTGTGGGAAGACAGGTGACAGAGATGACCCTACCACTATGGAGGTTCTGCACAAGCACTTTGTATGCATATAGGTCTTTGAATCCTAGTCCGGGGGCAGTTGCATGCTTTGCATGACTCATGGAGAGAATAATGATTGCTCTCCAATGACTATGCTTTCAATCTTAAGCTGAGAAGCAAGTAGGAGATTCAAAGTTTTCCTGGTAGGGCTGTTGGAAGACACTATAAAAGGCCCCACTGGTACCAACTCAGACCACTATTTTCCCGCAGCATACCACTGTTTGTATTCGCATTTGGCTGACAGGTTGTTAGTCAAAAACATCTGCTAAGTAATCTTAATAGAATGGATTGCGTGTTTATGCTAACAAAATGTTTCAGATGGTTCATTACCCAGCTGAGATGCTTGGCAGGCTAAAACATGATATATTTCTCAAAGCAGAGATTTGAACTACATGATCTGGAAACTCACAATCACTTTGATGGTTTCGGGAAATGAAGATTGATTAGCATTGGAAGTTTGGACAGCTCTACTTGAGTTTTGCCCAACAATATGCTCTTCAACTTGTCATCGCAATTGACTAAGTTCTTATTGTTTGGATCCTGCAAAACCATAAGCATTTTCCGTCAATATCTGCTCAGCCTTCTCATGTGCATATTGAGTTCTTATAAATACAACAGAGAGTTTTCTTATAAACAAAAACAAAACTGATGCAACAAAGTAAAGATTTTGTGTTCAAAATATAATATGTAATAATGATCATAATAAACTCTAAAACTAATGATAGCATTACATTCTTAGTAGAAGGAAAAAACTGTGCATTAACACGCTGACAGTGAATTTTACATGAGTAAACCTGTCAAAATTATAACAAATATTATATTAAAGAAAGGAGATCAAGATGATGTTAAGACAAATTTTCATTACAATGATCATGATGATAAATAAAATAGCATGAATCCAAACTTGGCAAAGTCTGCATCAATTTAGGATGTTCACTAAATTTCTTTTGTGCACATTCTTCTAACTGAAGCATGGAAAGAATTTGGTAATCCATATTATAGACATCCATGCTGAACCATGACATCATCAGCCCTTGACAATTCATACTGAATCACATAGCTACAATTTCATTCCCTCAAGTTAAACATACAACATCCTTTTATACCATAAAAAATTTCTTTCAACTCCATGTGAATTTTAATGTTCACCTCCTCATAGATTTCTGGTATAAATCAAGTACAGAAATAGTATTCAAACAATCTGCATTTACTGATGCCATAAGACATGGAGAAAAAAAGAAAGGAATGTTACCAGATGTCTTCTCTTTGTTTTTTGAATTATCCTTATATTTAATAAATAACAAAAGAATTATGAATAAATTGAAAAAGCAAAAAAGTCAGACACAAATATCGGACTGTAAAAATCACATGGATCAAATCTTTGTTCAGCCTTTTTCGCACGCATATTGAATGTTCCAAACTGGAACAAGAGAATGCCATGTAATTCAAAAAGAAGAAGCTGCATTTACCAAGGGTGGCACTACATTCTAAATTAAAAAAAAAAAAAAACTTTGCATCCATCATTAAAGCTGGATCTTAGATGACTAAAATTGTGAAGGTTATAATGGAACTCATTGATCCAAATAAAAGTAATTAAATGATGTTATAAAAACAAGGTAATTATTATGATAACTGTCACAGAGCCACATTAAACCATATCATATCTGGGATTCAACCAAAACAGCCAACCAAGATGTGCCCGTGTTCAGCTAAAACATGGAGCTGCCCAACCCTGTTTGGACTACAGTAGTTCTCTAGGTGCTGCTATAACTTATGCCAGTCCAGTAATGAAAGGTTGCACCTTCAGATGCACACAACCAAGTTGGTAAGAGATGGGACAGCACTGTCCTGCTTGGAAGGGATTGAAGAAGATTTTCAGCATTTGCAAAAATTATTATAAGCACTACAAACTAGAGTATAGGTGTCTTATCACTATCCGGTAGAGATTTAGAGACCGATGAATCTTGGAAAAGCATTCCAACTACAGAAAAGAAACCAGCAAGGGCAGCAGCACCCTCTTATGCCAATCAAGATTGGGTCACCTAGCTGTTGGGAGTGCCAAACAGATCCAGTTCACGTTGGACTTGAGGTGGTTAAGCAATATTTGGCGACCAGCTTATTCGAACCAGCCAACAGTCCATAAAGGAGTAGTCACCAAGAGCAACAAATTCGGTAAAGTATGGAATAGCAGCAATAACAAACTGTTTAAAAGTTATTTTTCATTTTATTTTCAGCAATTATCTGTTGTTATTGGATTATTATAGACTACATTCAGGCACAAAAAGGATGAGCTTTGGCTTGTGATATTTTTTCACTGCAATAAGATTATCTATATTACCCTGTTTAGTCTTCTAGTTCGTAGATTGACAGTTTCACTAAGATCTTTGCATGTACATGCTTATTGAGAGCATTCGGTATTCCATACCCTTCCTTCCTGAACTACCACATCGTCAGAATCACTCGATGGTTCATTACTGAATCAGTTAAACACAGGCTAATATCACCAAATGCATTACATTCATGTTAAAGACACATCATTTCTTCTATGCAGTGCCACAAAAAAATTATTACTTGCATCATCATCAATACAGATTTTATTCACTGCATGCATTCCTTAAGGATCAAAATGCATCATTTTCCCGGTGGTATTGCAAGAATTTATTATTTTTATGTGAATTTACGTTCATATTTTATATATTTGGAATCAATCAATTAGAGCAGTAGCTAATTCATGCAGACTGCATACAGTGAGGCCGAAAGACATAGAAAATAAACAAAAAAAAATCGTTTTTTCTTTCTTGGGTGCCAATAGCCTAAATTAGGTAGTCCGTCCGTTATAATAAAAAAACAAATTATTATAAAATAACTGGAAAAAAAGAAAAAGAAAGGTGTATGCAGACTATTACAATCTCAGCATAACCTTTCAAAACTAACCTTGGAGATTAAACAAAGCCGTAAAGGACACGTTATCTAATGGTGAAGGGAAGCTGGTGGTGGAAGATACCTGTAGGTTGTGGGTCTTGATATGTGACCAGACGCGGATGAAGAAGCTGAGATGAGCCATCTGGGATTGGCCACCGGCGAACTCCCTGAGGTTGGACGGCAGGTTGACCAGGTCGATCAGCCGTGCCACCTTCTTCGGACACTCGCCCAGCATCGCCTTCCTCGCCTGCTGCCCCACCACCATCGCTTCTAAATCCCTAAATGCTTCGACCACGTAGTGGCCTCTCTCGACCTCCAATTCAATTGACCTAGCGACCAATCCGAGGCAACTGCCAGCGGCGTCGGAGCCAAGCGAGCGTGGGAAGGAGATCGACCGAAGAGAGGCGGAGGAAGACAGCAAAAGGAGGCGGCGGCCGCGTCGGGGAGGGGAACGATATAGTCAGATACGAACACGCATCACAGTAAATCCATCCGACAATGTGCGTGCATAAAGCTTTGAGATTCGTGCGTGGATCTACGACACAAGACACGAAAATGCGTATATATAATTTCCTTACAAAACACAAGTTTTATTCAATGGTATATTAATCTTCGTAGTTGTATATCAGTGTCAACTAAGTAAATACTAAAATCACATTAATATCCTTTTAAATTTTAATATTTCAGATATTTTAATAATTACATATCTATTCTGCACCAACTAATTAATATTATTTATAATCAATCTTCATCAGTGTTTATATGAGGGATAATCTGATTGTTCTCAAGTGTTTCTCTCAGGAGGAGAGCTTGTTGATTAGGTCCTTATAGAATTCAAACAATTAAGTCCACAGTTCAAACAATTCTTCCTTAGCTTTTTCCTAAACAGTTGTGTATATGGATTATCTTAATTAGGTCCTTATACAATCTTCTAAGTGTATCCCATACAATACAATCATGTTTCACTCTTATGCCATTTATCGTAAGGTCATGCTATATATACTCTTATACAATTATTGCTTGTAAAAAAATATTCTTCTTCTTTGACCTATAAAATAAAAAAATAAATCAATCATAAATAAATAAATAAATAAATACACGATCAAATTATACTTAGTCTTATAATTGATAAAAATTATTAATTAAAGTAAATCTGACTATAAATGATTGATAACCTTATATTCCTGACTTGACATGTCGAGATCCTCAATTAACCAAATGATTTAAAAATCAACTATCATGATTCATATGCATGATTAAAGGATAATCTATCTCTCTTAAATGTATACAACATAATACACAAATAAATATTACCGTGCATGGAGATGACCCTTTATTTATTTATTCTTCTGAATGTTGTGAAAATAAAGTCACCAACTACCAGATGCTAGAATAAATTACGATAGCATGACTACTACTGTTCTGCCTAGCATATTTGAGACTCAACAAAGGTGCGTGAGATGTATCTTCATCATTCTCTTGAGGCAGGGATTTGGAGAAGGATCATAGTCTGGAAGGCATGCCTCCGGCAACCACTAGTGTTTCTCCGGTGATGTAGGATGAGTCGTCAGATGCCAGAAAGGCAGCAGCAGACGCCATGTCTTCCGTCGTTCCAAGCCTCTTCAGCAGAGTTTGATCTTCGATGGTCTTCCTCTGCACACAAACAGAGTTCTAATAACAGGAAAAGGAGATCAAAGCCTCCAAGACTTCATGCTGAATGATGACAAGAAATGGGAAGCTTTTCTTTCATTCAGAAGACGAGAGGTTGATATGTCAATCACTTGCACCTAATAAACTGAATGAAAATGGGCTACTTTTCTTTCATGCAGAAGACGTGTGAGGTCGATATGTCAATTACTTGCAAGTAATGAACTAAATGATGAAAACCAAGACTCGTTTTTTTTAGATAGATCCCAAAATAGATGGATAGGACAAAAAGGGCAGCACCTAGTTGCATGAGAAAGCTACTGCAAGATGAGGACAAGATGAGTCATGTTTCAGAGTGATCCTATTACATAAACAATTATTTAAATCGTCATCACAAAATGAGTAGCTTTTAATTTCATGAGAAAATTCATGTTTCAGTGAGATCCTACTAGATAACCAATGCTTTCATTTGGATGATCTGACATGAACCCTAGGAAGCAGGTGGAATATGAAATTGGAAGACAAGACCCGTGCCCCACAAGGTAAGGCAATGAACTGTTGTACTATGGTTAACAGAAAGGTTAGACATGTTGTATGAGACAAGCTTCAAATGCCTTCCCCCAACATGCAAGTTAAACCGGAACATTATTTGTTATCCAATCAGCTTGGAAGTGAATGAACTAAATGGCTAGAGGAAGCACTCTCAAAGCCTCAATAAGGAAGTAGAGAATGCATACAATGGCAGCATTTTTTGTTAGAAAATCAGCAAAATGCGTTGGCACGAATCCAGGAGCTATACAGTTGACACGGGTATCTGGACTCATCTCAGCAGCAAGGGCCTACAAGAAATTCGAAAAAAGTTATAGCATGTACTGTGGTATGGATAAGCCAGCGGTAATACATGAATTACTAGCCAATGCTATAGCAATCCTGCACAAAAAAGTGTAATGTTTTTAATACAACCACAAGAGACAGGTAGCCTGACATTTATAACAAGGGTGAAATGCAAGTTTTTTCCACAATCATTATTCTCACACAAGATTAATTTGTTCCAAAATACTACACATATCAATAGATGTTTTATTTGAGTGCAGGCATAAGTTATTCAGCAGATATGCAGAAACACTAAAACCATAAAAAACTCAGAATGGCATTTTTTTGCTTCCGATGCCCATCTAAGTACAACTAAAACCATAAACATTCTCTACTGTGTGCCCACTACACACTACTTATATTATCTAGCCAACAAGAATGTATCATACAAATGGATACATATCCAACATGATTTGTAAAGGTAGATGTCAGAGTATAGGTAACGATGAAAAGGCAACAGTATAGGTAATGATGAAAGATGAATAACTTGTCACCAACACTTGCAAGTAAACCAGAAGCACATACATTGAAACAAGTATATAAAAAAAGATAAGAGAAAAGACAACAGTTTCCCAATTTATGGATGGTCCCAGAAAAAGGAGTACTATCTTTGAAAGACTAGAAAGTGCAACTAGATTTCCAATTGATGTAATCCAGCAAACTGTCTCACAAAAGATGTCAAAGAACTTCCTAATATCACAGTTGAGTTTCCTCAACATCAAGTGCGTAGAAGAATTTGTTCACACTACACATAGATAGTAAAACATTCCTCACGCATCTTCACAACAGGCATCAAGTAGACTAATATTAAGTCAAAAATGGTAATGTTGATCTTATTGACCTGCCCCAGCAATATAATGTAGGAAAAATGTCACTCAGAGGAAATAACAATGAGAAATAGAGAAGTACCTTGGTAAGCCCAAAAAGAGCAGTCTTAGTAACACCATACATGGCCATGGATGCTTGTGGGAGGTAACCTGCAATTGAAGATATAAGGATGATGGACGAGCCCTTCCGCAAGTAAGATGAAGCATCCTGCAAAAGAAACAAAAGTTAATATTTTAACATCAGACTAAAGGAGTGAAACCTCATTAGCATATGCATAACCTGCAGAATAAGGATTGAAGACTTCACATTAATCTCCCAAAGTTTATCAAGAACCGGCTCTTTGGTATCTAAAATGTTTTCCACTGTTGGATTAGCAGCAGCATTCGACACAACTATATCTATGTGGCCATATTTCTGCAACAAAAGTAGAAACAAAAGATTACTCATTTAAATGCCAAAAGTGACCTCAAATTTAGAAATCTATAAATGTAAGGATCACTGACCAGTGGTGTCTTGTATATATAATAAGGAAGAGAAACATTTTGCTCATTTTGTGTCTGGAGTCAGGATGTTTGATCAAAGAATACAATTTAATAAACCTCCAGTTACATATCAGTTTTCTAACAGGATATAGACTGAAAATAATCTATTCCCTTTTCTCAGCTGTGTCTTACTTCTTTTTCTAATAAGCATCAACTAGACCGTCCCTTGACTTATTAGGATTCAATATAGTTTCAACCAAGGTTTTTAATTTCGAATGATATCGCCCGCTACCGGACAGTACCGTCGATTGCGGCTGTTTCCTCCCCGTTGCCATCCGAAATCAGTCGGTGACGATCGATTTCGACCGTCACTGCCCGCTACCAAGCGGTATTAGCTAAGGGAGAAGAAAAGGGAGAACCTAGAGATCCGACGCCGCTCTCCCTCGACGATCCCGATCCGTCGCTGCCCTCCCTCGCCGGACGCCGTAGATGAGATGTCGCCTCCTCCGTGTCTGAGACGACTAGGCCTCGGCATCGTCGGCGACTTCTCCTAATCCGTACGGGGAGAAGAATCCTCGACAACATTGCCGAGGCTTCGCGGGGAGAAGAAACAAGACGACATCGCCCTTTTTTTATTTTTTAACCTTATTATTATTATTATTATTATTATTTTATATATATATATATACACACACACACACACACACAGCGGTATGCCACAGCTGACTGCTCGGTATACTCGTACCGTAC